AAAGACCAAGAATGTGATTTGAGCAAAAATGTGTCTGAGTGTAATGTTGAGCCCTCTCTAACATTCCTCATTCTCAACCTTCCTTACAGCCCTTCCGGCATTGGCTCCTGCAGGCAGTGCACCAGGAATTGTACCCGCCTTCACTCTTCCCTTTCTCACCTAGTGGAACCTCCCCTCCATACTGTTGGCTGGCAACCAGCACCACCTCTTCAGGAGGACGGATTCCTGTGTCAGAAACGCTGCTGAGCTCCCTGTCCTCACCCCCTGCTATGGGTTGGACCTGTCTTCTGGCTCCACCCATTCCCACAGGGTAGACTAGGCCTCTTGTCAGGCTCCAGCACCAACCCCTCATCCTGTATCTCCCCAAACATCCCTTGGTCTTGATCTGCTGTTGGAACTTGCTGAAATTCGATAACAATCTCTTCTGTGTTGTCTGAGCTTGAGTTCCTATTAACACAGACAGATACCCATGCGTGCGTGGGCATGACACGAAGGAAGAGAGACACTGGGACTGATAGGGATCACCAGAACACTGAGGACCTGAGGTCAAGGCTACTTAGAGAGCTGTTGTGTGTGGTGGTTTTGCCATCGCTGTCGCCTCCACTGCTATTTTACTAAGGGGCAGGCTCTGGACAGGAGTTCCAATCATGTGGACTCAGAATAATTCTAATAAAGGCAGCACTTTTCTGAGATGGGTGCTTCTTTACTTACCACTGATTATGAAAGAACATGGAGGTATGCTAATACCACTAATAATGTATTGAAAAGACTCCTAGGAGTGTGTTTATTCAGTGATCACAAGTAGCACACACAGTATATATCCTAAGAAAAAGATAACAGAAGTTCCTAAGCAAAGAAGAAAAGGGGAATTACTGATTCAAGATCTTGTCTGGCAGAAAGTAATAGCCTGTATTTGCAAGTTAGAAGTATGTTAAAAGTATGCCATTCAGAACTTTACTGTTTTACAGTGAAGTATTGAAATTGTAAAATACATTAAATAACTTGACTCAGTTATCAATTCAAAGGGAGACTGCAACAAGAAATTAAAAGAAAACTAGACTGGGAAGCTCAGCAGTGAAGTAACTAGAAAAGATCGTTAAGTGTAAGGGTGTTTCACTGGAGACGAAGGCCAAAATTATCTGTGCTGTTATATTCTTGATAATTGTGTATGAGTGTGAAAGCTGAACAGTGAAGAAACCTGATGAAGTGAATTTATGCATTTAAAACACGGTGCTGGAAGAGAACTTTGAGAAGATCCTGGACTAACAGAGAGATGAACAAGTGGGTTTGAGATAAAATCAAGCTAGACATGACAACCCTGAAGCTGTCATAGTTTTGGCACATCGTGAGATGGCAAAACTCCCTGGAAAAGACTATTGTGCTGGGGAAAACCAAATGTAGAAGATGAAAAGAAGGACCAAATAGGAGATAGACTCCATAACGTAAGCCATCGCCTTAAGCTTGGGAGAGCTGAATAGAGCTGTCATGGATAGGAATTTACAGAAAGTTTTCATTCTTAGAATCACTGTAAGTCAGAAATGACTTAACAATACATAACAACAACAAAAATGTCTGCAGTTGGACATCCAGGTAACATTCAGTAATGGAGTAGAGCAGGGGGAGAAAGTCTTCAGGTTTGTTGGTTTTCAGTAGAGTGTCTACCTTTGGTTTACAGTAGAGTGTCTAGCACCCGAGTCAGGTGCAAAAGACATATGCTTTGAATTAAAGGACAGTGTATTGCAAAGTAATAATACTAAAATTAATAAATTCTGAGCCAAGGAATTTGTTTTCAGTATGAGAACTGAATTGAGGTCACATTCGCTTTAATACATAAGTGACTCCTGGTTACACCAGGCCTTTTTTATTTCATCTGATTAATTTAGAGGGAAAAAATTTGTTGCTGCTGCTGCTGTTAAACAAGTGTACATCAGAAACCATTGTTGGTCTTCTGCAAATCACTCAGAAATCTTTCAGTAAAGCCTGATCATCTTTCTATTCACCCCTGAAGCGGAGGTTGCTTTTTCTTCTGTTATGTAGCAGGAACAGAAGATTCTACTTAAAGAGAAATAGTGTTGCTTGTAATTATGTGTCTGTCTATAGGGGTGGATAGATAGCTATGACATAATAATATCTATAAAGGCAATTGTCAAGATATATTAGTCATATCTAAATTGTGTCTTGGAACATTGCCAGTTGACAAAATGAGGCATGGAATTTGGTAGAGCAATAATTTATATTCTCTGTCTGCTATTTATTTGGCTGCAGATAGAGTTAGGATGAAGGGTCCCAAAGCCCAGGGAAAGAATGATAGTCATAAGTTTTCGTTCTTTGACTTATTTTTCTTTTTTGCCTGCTGTGTAATATATTATAAACCCCCATGTGCAATTTGCGTGTTGGACATTTGATGCATTTTGGAAACTGCTGTGGCTTATAGCTAATACAAATAGAGCATTTTAACATTGGAAGTACCAGAAGAAGGGCACTGCCGCTTTTCTAAAGGTTAATTAGCCACTCCTGGGAAGATCCATGTGTAGTTCCAAGAATCTGTAGGGCTTCAGCATTAAAAGGACAATGTAAATGGTTCTCCTGATTTAGCCAGTGCTTCATTTCTTTCTAAAAAGGCATGGTTGTGTCTAGGTTTGCTTTCATAATACAACATTTCCCAGGCTTCCCTAAACATTTCAAGGAAAGGGAGCATAAAAATAGATGCAGTGTTTTTCTCAGAAGTTGGAGATGCTAATAAAGTGTCATCATTAATGTTGGACATTTCCTTAGGATCATTAAGTGTCTCGGTACTTTCAAATATGACTGAACAGAGTGCAAGAAATGATAAAATTTTCATGGAAACTGTTAGGATAAATAGATTAAAGCACATTAAAATGCAATAAAAACAAAATAGTAACAGAATAAAAAGAGTGCCCAACCCACAGATCCACTTACATGCATAAGGCCTTCTTCTTCTAGAAGACTAGCAGAGAGGAAGCAAGCCTAGACTTTTGGGAGAAGTTTCCACAGCCTGGGAGAGGCCTCCTCAAAGCCCTTCTCTTGTATTGCCACCAAACGCATCTTCTTCAGGTGATGTCCCCTGAAGAAGGGTCTGCAAAAAATTAAGGATCAGGTGGGCTCATTGGGCTGAAGCTGCCCTTAAGATCTACTGGATAGTCCCTTCTTTCAAGACTGCCACCATCAGAGGTGGTGATATGAGAGAAGGGTTTTGTTTTTTGTTTTTTTGGTATAAGTGTTTAAGGTCACGACCAGCATTGAAAATAGACTTTTATCCCATGAAGCTACTGTCAGAAGTACTGAAACTACTGTAATGACCCTGGTCAGCAATGTAGCCACAGCATTCTGGACCAGCTGAAATTTCTGAACAGTTTTATCAGGCTGTAAAGTGTCCATGGAACAATAAACCTTTCCCTTTCCCTTTCTCTCATCTTTTTGTGGCTCTGTGAAGCAAGAGAATAGTATTTAAGGCTCAGTCTATGCTGTGTTTGTATAGAAGGCCAGACAAAATGGCAAAGATGCCATTTGGCTTTGACATCAGCTGTCTTTTCTGTTGTAACTTATGCTTTTAGACCTTATGGTAATGCATCTTTTCTTGAAAGATTTGCTGCATAAGGCTTATAGTCGTCCAGGATGGAAGTGTATGATTTCTCCCCACTCCCCACTCCCCGTTACTAGCAGAAGCTGAATAAACTGCTGCTTCAAGAATGAACAGGGTATTCTTCTTAAACTATATTGCTGTTAATAATGTTGAGTTTGTCTTAACAGGTATCTACCCAGGTTTTGATACTAACATATATTAACTTTTGGAGAAAAAAGTTCCATGTCACAAGCTTTTAAATGGGTAGAGTACTATTAAATACTATTAGCATCAGCTTTAGTGATTGATAAAATGCTTTGGCTATCTGTTCAGTCAAATCCACATCAGTTTCATCTGGGTGTTCAGAACAGTAGTATAAATTAGTTGATTACTATGAATGTGACTTCAGTGATATTAGGCTGCTGCAAAGTCAGTAGTAACAGGGCACACAAACATCTTGAATAAGTCATGGCATAAGATAATCTAGCATACATAGTATTACATAGTGTTGAAATGTGCTCTAAGTACTTCCTATGGCTTCTCTCAGGACAGCCTTATAAGATACTGTCTCCAATTGAAACAGAGGATTAGGTTGGGAGATAATGGCTTGCCAAAGGGTTCTTAGTTCAAATTTTGGCTCCGTCATAAACTCACTAACTTCCTTGTCTTGGCCACCACACTTCAATATATTTAAACATATGCATATTTCCTTATTTGTTTACTGTAATTGTGATGCACAATAACCTTCTTATTGTAACTTTTGTGTGTATTCATTCCCAATGTTATGAACTGTTATGGCCACTATTTTTCATCCTGAGCATGAAAGAAAATTAAAAAATAAACACTCCAGATGTTGTATTTCATCACCCAAAGACTATTTTTAAAAATGCAGTGCAATGCAAAAACTAAATTTAACAAAAATGGATGACAACTACAAAAGTTTCCTTTTTAAAATGAAGGGAGTAAGATATTCATAAAGATTAAATTTTCATGCTGCTGTAGTCTAAAGCCATTTTTATGTTGTCTCTTTAAATCTCAACTTTTCTTAAGCTCAAACACTGGTGTGATTGGCTTTTCGTAGACACATGTTCCAACTGCTTTCCTTATGCCAACTGTTTCCTTATTTGTGTGAGATATTTTAAGTGTATCTTTCACTGCTGGTATTTGTGTGCTGCCTGCCTTTCTAAATTCAGCTGATACCTGTTGGCCTCATTATATGTTTCCAAAAATACTTACAGACTTGGGCACAACAGAATCTAAACCAGAATAATGACTGAATGGAAACAGAGTAGTTGCAGTGTGCCTGGCTAAGGAAAGCAGGCAAAGCGGGCCTTAACTGCTGTCTGTGTGAATGCGCTCTAACTCGCTCTCTCTCTTTCTCTCTCTGCTCTGTTTTCCATGCTTTTCCTGGATTCAGAGAAAGGTAAAATGTTTTTCTCTATTTTCTTTGCTTCCTATCTTTCGGCACAGCATTATGTCATTATTGCCTTGCAAATTAGCATTTTGACTTTTATCAGATGGCACTTGGGTAATTCCTTTAGAGTGTAAAAGGAGTGGGGCCAAGGGAAGGTGGCATGGTCATCTGGGGAACCCTGGGGCACCAGATAGGAATCTTAGGAGGGCAGATTTGGCCCTGGGCTGAGCTTCTACAACCCTGCTTTAGAATCTCTCTTTAGAACTTCTTTAATTTCCTAGGAGTTCACTCCAAATTGATTTAGAAGATCAGGGAAATGTGTGCTACAGGAAAATGGGAAGGAAAGGGAGCTTTCTTCTCAAATGGCTCTTGCATGTTCCTAAATCAGCCTTCTCCAAACTGATGTGTTGGAATACAATGCCCGTTATCCCTGGACAGGTTATGCCTGCTTGGATGATAAGAGTTATAATCCAAAACAACTGAACCACATCAGATCCAGGAAGGCTGCCCTAGATATTTACCCCATTCTTGACTCTCATCCTCAAAATAATAAGCAGGCTAACCATGTAGTCCTACATATATAGAAACATAGAAACAGAGCGAGTCAGAAGGGATCCCCAGGGCCATCTAGTCTGACCCCTGGCTCCACTTATGACATGACATAGCTGTTCATCTGTATGTTTGTTTATAAGTCTAAGGATGTAACCCTGAAAAGAAAAAGCTGTCTGGTCCAGTGGAGTCAGCAGGTTTAATGCCAACAAGCCAGAGTTCCTAGAAGAGGAATAACAAGGTAGAGTTTCATTCAAGGGGGAAAAAAGCAACCTGGGCTTCCTTCCCAGAGCCTGCCTTTTGAGCATGTCTCTGGGGGATGATTTCCTATTTCTTTGGGAAGCAGTTTGTATCTTCACTGTCTTGCAGAGTAGTGGAAACAAGTCAGGCTTTGTAGCATGCGAACACGTAGGACAGAAAGTGTGGGGCCAGAAATCCCAAAAGCCAGAAGAGTGACTGGATAAGTTAGCCTTTCTCTACCAGTTCCCTTGACATGTTAAAAGGAACTCTTATCATCCCCAGCCATTGGCTGTGCTGGCTGGATATAATGGCAGATTTAGACTAATTTGTCTGATGGAGTACTAGGATGGGAGAAACTGGGATAAAATTTCTGTTGGGTGGTGGGATTCATTGCCCTGCTTAGCTCCTGGTTCCTCCCATTTAATAGCAAAACCAAAATAAACTGTACAAAATGTCAGAAGAATACATTATCCAAACTAGAACAAATCATTCATATTCCATAATTCAGCTTTTCTTGATACAGTCATATAGACCTAGGTAGATACAGGGCACAGTGTTTCAAAATGTTGAATTTAACACTCTCAGAAATGATTTTTATAGTTTTACATGCAGCCTCCTAACATAGGAACTTAAGTATTGGTGTCACTAATGTAACGGGCATTTATAGACACTAATGGACATTTATAGGAATTGCTCTGTGACCTTCATGAAGGGCACAGAGATGGGAATGGAAGTAGGCAGCTTCTGTCCTTTTTGGAGTTTCTGGCAAAGTGTTTCTTCTACTGGCTTTCCCTTCACTGCCTGCAGTGCTCTAGCCTACATATCAAGTCAGTAGGAAGATTCTGGAAAGGTCTAGTATGCTAAGTCCTCTTCATGTTGATTATCTCCTTAAAATATCAGTAGGGTTGAGGAAAAAAGAATGGCCTGCTTTGGAGCCACACTGGAGGAAACAAGAGGGAGGGGAGGAGCAAAGGCAGGGAAAAGGGAAGTGGGTGGCCACTAGAGAAATAACTTATTTGCAAAGCTTTTCTTAGCAGTGCCTAGAAATAGTCCTTTATACATGCCTAGTGAATGAATAATTTTTCTTACAGTTGTTACTGGTTGCCAGGCAAGCAGGGCAAGACAGTTAAAAGAAAGGGAGTGAGGAGAGCAAGGCCAGAAAAAGGAAGGAGAAAAGTGGAGAAAGAGCATTCCAGTGGACAAGAGAAGAGGAGGAAGAAGGGAAAAGAATAGTGTTACCCCACTTTCCTGTATTGAAAGTGATCTACTCTCCGCAGAGCTGGTCTTACCCTTTCGATCCCAGGAGCCATTGGAGCTCTTACAGTTAATTTCTCTGGAAGGCTTCCAGCCCATGGAGTTGGCTGTCCAAGAGAGTGGTTAGTGGAAGGGAAATGGTGTAAATGGAGCCCCCTTTCCATCATACTACAACACCTTGAATGGCCTTATTGTGACCCTTGACTAAAACAGCAAAATGAGGATATCCCAGAAAAGCCGGAGGAGAGCATGCTCTGAAGTGGCAGGTTTAGAAATGGAGCATGTTAAAAGAAAAATGCTGAATCAAGGATGCCAATTCTTCCTAGCACAGTCGTCTGGAGATTGCCAACTGTCCCATATGCAGTGAAATGCACAGAAGGAACTTGTAAATAAAAGCAGTTGCCTAAATGTTTCTGTGCTCATGAAACGAATAGAGGAAGAAGGGTATAATCCCATATGATCTTGCCAGACTAGTATTACACTATGATTTATTATTTTAAATCTTTGGGGTATGCCAAATAGGCCTAGATGTGCTTCCTGATTCATTCCATCTGTATAATACATCTTTACATTTTAAATTTCCAGAAACATTTGTAGGCATACACAGTTTGCAGGAGTAAAGTAAATAGGTTATTCAGCTGCCTACTAAACACTGCCTAAGACTATATCCTTAATGGAGCTCAATGCATATGAAAGTCAATGGTTTTGATAGCATCAGGGAATTCTTTTCTTCAAGTCTAAAACTCGGTGAACCTCAACAGTACAATCTTCTTACTGTGCCCTGGAGGGAATGCTACTAAGGGATAAGAAAGTGGTTTTCCTTGGCATTCATATTTCATGAACTGTATGGAGTACTGGAAGATGTGCTATTTGCTTAAAGTAGAAAAGAACAGATACTGAAATGCTGAAATACAGATCCACAAACAGTATAAGCAATCATGGTTGTACTGGGCAGTAACTGAGATCAGATCAAATTTCACAAAACAATGGAATGAAAACTGGCATTCAGTTGAAAGACATGGTTGTGTGTGTGTGGGTTGTTTGTTCATTTGTTCTGAGCGAGAAAATAACATAACCATCTGAAGTACAAGTCTAATTTGAATGGCAAGCCTGCTTTTCTCTGCCTTTCCTCAATTTAACCTGTTCAAGAAAGAGTTAAAAAAGAATTACAAAACATGGTATAGCAAAGAAGTCTAGAGAAATAATATATAAAAATACTCTATTGGGGTTGCTATGATCACTCTTTCCTTTCCGTCGGAAGAGAAAAATATTCCAGACATGCAGAGAGTTCTTTTTAAAACTTTATTGCAATGAAAGGAACAGAAAAGTATGTTTTCCTTCCCATTTTTCTGTTCACCTGAGCACATGTTCACACACCCCTTTTGAACCCTGCTCCCGGCCTCTTGTTCCCTCCTCCTTTCCCCTAACTGGCTAATAGGGTACTGAGAGTTTACACTCTTTCTGCCCGCCCACTCTGTGCTGCCCCAACATCAGCCCTGCTTCCCAATCCAGCCCTGCCCCTGGTGGGCTACAATAGGCTCATTTTGTTCTGCCCAGCTTGTCAGTAAACAATCAGGAAGTATTTGGCCCTCCTGCCTACTTGCCTGTTTCCCCATACCTTGTGCTATCTGATTTTAGCCCCTCCCCTCCTTTGGGCTAAGGAATTTTTTTTTGTTACCCTTTTGAATGTCTTTACTCCCTTGTTTCAAATCATCCTTTCACACCTATCAGGGTGATCAGTCATAAAACTGAGCAGCTAATCTTCAGATCAGGCAGGCTTTGTAAGAGGAGCATGCAGTAAACCACCATGTAAGAAGCCATATTTATGCACAAGAATGAAAGGGCTCCATATGAGATGCAAGACTCGTTATACCTCTTAAGCTCAATGGCATGATGGCTCAGGATTGCTGTGTATGCATTAACCAAAACCTTAGACAGCAGTTCATAGTGTGGCCCACAAGTCTCAAAACATGTATGCAAGTGGAAGAATGGGCTCGTCCCAGCCTGGCCTTGTCAATGGCAGCACATCCCGCAGCAGAGTCTGGGGAGGGACTTCCTTCATCCTCTCTTCCTTCTTTGTTTTCCTACATGGATTGCAGGCACTGCTACCGAAATCAGAAACTGAAGGGATTTTTCAAGCAGAGGTGCAGAAAGGAGCAGGAAGAGGGGATTCTAGCTAATTTAAATTATGTTGAAGATGATGGGCAGCTGATAAAGTGAGAGTAATTGGTGCCTGAAGAAAAAGGGATGCAAGAGAGGACTGTTGTTTTACCCTTCCTCCATGAAGGTTATTTTTATATTTCCTAGGAATGAGAAGACGATTCCCAAGGGACACTGCCAGCATCTGAGCAGTCACTTACCTTCAGCATAACCCATTCTCACAGGGATCTTATGAGGATGGGAGAGGGCCTTTGTATGCTACCTGCACTTCTCAGAGGAAAATATAATGTGGAAAGTCAAAAGACTTTCAAACCAGTTTTCTTCCTTGTAGTTCAGAAAGATACACATCTTGGGATTCACTAGAGCTTTAGCGCTGAGGTCCTTCCTCCCACCACTCCCAGGCAGGAGCAACAGCTGGCTTAACTTCATGGGTTTTACAGTTTGGAAAGGACAGTGAGTCCCAGGAGAAGCTTATTGGAGAGTGACTGGAACTGCAGTTAAACTGCAGAAGAGAGCACTGGAAGGGGGGAAATTAGAATATTCAAAATTAAAAAGGCAACTAAGGAGCATAAGATGTTGACTGCTGATAAATTAGAGAGGAGGAGGAGGAGGAGATGAACCCCACTATGAAGAATAGCACAATTGACAGATGGGGTTTGGTGAATGAGGTCAACTTCACAGCTCCTGTAATAGGACCAGGGAAGTGGGAATATGTGCTTACAGCTCTAGGGCACTTTCATTTGATTGCTACCTAATTTCCAAAATAATATTTTATGAGATCATCTCCTTTTGATGGCCATACCATTTTCATGTTAGAACATTCCCATCACTTTGCCTATGGTAGTTATTTTTCTCAGTATGAGTTTCTATAATCACAAACTGCTCCAACATTGTCTTCAGAAAAATGAATAAACTCCAGATAGAAAAAAGTGTTTGATAAAGGGAGGATGAATGGAATGATTAGTTAGGAATTTGTTTGTTGTAAATTAACTCCAGAAGCATTAATCTATTGCACATGAAGAAATGAACAATAATCACATGTTATTCAGAAAAAAGGACTTAATTTCAAAGGAATTTAAAACTCACATATGAAAACAGTCAAACATGCTAGATATTGTATCAACTGAGATATCTGAAACATAGAAACATTGTGGAAGCTCGAGATGGGCAGGAAAAAGTTTTTGCTCCAGATTTTACCTTTCAGAAGTGCAACCTCTTGCTGCAACACCAAAAATAAATGTGTGGCTCTGGTCCTATCTATTTTTTTATTAATACACACTCATTGACATCTTTCAGACTGCGTTTAATTGGGATGTCTCATGGGGTATTAATATAATGACTACTCACACTCACACTGGGCAGTGTTAACATAAATTCTATTTTATGTCACTACATTTAACCATCATTGCACACTTTAATGGTGCTTAACTGGGTGTTAAATTAGCATGAAACCCCAGGCCCTATCAATTAGTTCAGAAGGATAATTCTTTCAAAGAATAAAATTAAAAGAACCAAATACTTTATTATTTTTCATGCTGGTTCAGTTTCATTATTTTTTAAAATGGAGTTCTTATTTGGTGTTGTAATAAACCAACCAAAGCAGCTTAAACTAATGGATTCTCATCTGTGTTATAGCTGATAAACAAAAACACCATGCCATGGCCTACAGAGAATTACATTCATTGATTCCCACCGCTGCCTCTACCTTCCAAATCATCCTGTTTTCTGCCTTTGGTTTGGAATAACAGCTCAAGCTAATTTTATTGATTTTTCAGAGTTGCTATCAAGCAGAGTGTAAAAACTATATACATAAAGGTAAATGCCTGTTTTTGTAGAAAATTACAACATTACACGGCAGATGTTAGAAAACTATGCCCTGGGGTCTCATTTGGCAACACTTCTTAATATTTTGAATTGAACAAGGCCAAGACAGCTACACTGACTTTGCCTGCTCATTGGCTCCTGTAACAGTCACAACAAAAGGGGCTTTCTCCATCCCAGCCATGCATGGGCAGTAGTCCATCCTTCCCCTTACTTCTTCCAAAGATAGTATATGTAGCTCCCTTTTGTGTATCTGCTTGGCCAAGATGAAATCAGCTTGGGTTAGATAGCCATGCATAACCCATGATCTGTTACTTAACCTTTGCCTCTGACAAAAACACTTCATGCTTCTCTTAGTCACAGCTTTATGCTCATATTGTAAGTCATCAAGCATACACAAAAGGAACCTACAGTAGGAAGGGAAAGCATCTTGGTTCCGCATTAAAGTGTGCATTGTTTGTTCTATACAAAATTTATATATTATTTTAATCTTCCAAATTTACATATCTATACTGCCCAGTAGTCAAAGCTCAATTTCTTGATCCAATTATAGCCTAATCGGACCCTCCTGTCACATGATCTTAGCCTCCTGGAGGTTTGCATAACCCCCTGACAAAGCCATTTGTCTGACCTATTTGTTTTCCTGCTTGATACCTCCACATGGAGGTGGTAGTCCCATGGGTTTAGTGTTCAACTGGGGGACCTGAATTGCAATATCTTCTCAACCTTAAAGGCATTTAGTGATCTTTGGTCAGTGTCAACCTACTGTACAATTTTTCTGTGGATATAACACAATAACTGCACATACACCCTGAGCAGCTGGGATACAGAACAAGACCTAAATGTTTCTTACTTCCCTGCTTTGTAAAGAACTGACAGAATTCAAAACACTTTGAATTTTCCAGCATGGATTGAGAAATCTACAAGTTCTTCTGTAAAGCAAGTAAACAGTTTGCCCATAAATCTCTTACCATGTTAATCAGCTTGAAATAAGCTGGAATAGAATTGAGGTTAACAGAGCAAATGGCCCAGGAAAGATTCCACAATGAGGGAAATGGATGAGAAAGCAAAGGTGAAGGCTCCTGCGATGTATTCAAATATTGAATGCTTCTTGCTTTGTGAGGAAAATATTCTCTTGATCTTCCTGGCCTTTGCATTGTCATGAATGTTCAAGGTAGATGGACCTTTGTGATAATACAGGATGGGTGTGAATTGGAGCTTTCTAATGGTTCACTGGGAAAGAAATGTCTGAAGCACATCAGGGCTTAAACTATGTTGGTCCTCTCCTGGAGTATTTAAAAAGAACCTCTGTCTCAGCCAAACACTCTTGTGAACTGTGTCTGTGGATTTTCCTAAGCTTGCTACTTGATTAATTATTGAAGTTGCCTTATCCACTGGACCTTGCCGGAAGGAAAGAGCCACATTCAATAACTAATGTTGATAGATGATTTCATGGCAGATGTTTCTCACTCTTCCTCCTCCTCACCACAACCATAAATCTTCAACACTAGTACTTGAATGTGTTTGGCTTAAAAGGAAGGAATCTACTAGTGTCTTTTTCTTTTGCCTAAGAATCGTCAACCTATCAATGTGGACAATAGAAGGATAATTAGAATTACACATAATTTCAGGCTGGCAGGAGAAGGAGCAAATAAATTTCATTAGGGGAAAGGGGGTGGGTTTCCAACACAGTTCAGCTTCCTGCTCTTGGAGGTATTTGGGCTATATTAAGAGCATTACTTGTTCTTTCATTAAAAAAAATCAGTTTAACAGCATGATCTAAATATTTTGATGATCTGCACTTTAGTGCCAATAGTTTGGTTTATAATTCCTGGTCCTGATGATGGTTTTATCCTCTAATCTATGGTATATTTATAGTACTGTCTTTCTGCTGGCTTTTTAATTGTTTGCGGATTTTATTGTGTTTTAAACTGCATAATACCTAGAAGGACTTGGTTGATGATCCGTTTAAGAAATCTAACATATAAATCCATATATTTTGAGTAGTCTCACACCTTTTCTTGTTTTGAAGCAAAGGGATTTGTGCCTCTGATGTTCTTTGCTAACACACAGACTCATTCACTTCTTTGGGCACCCAGTGGATCAGTTTGCGTGCAAATCATGGTGTGTGCAAGGCAGCATCATTTCCATAATCACTACCCAGGTCCCACTTGCCATGTCATCCGAACTCACAGGCTGTTGTAGGGTTATTGGGGCTGAGCGGGGGTGGGGGGAAGTTCATTCCTCATCTAGCAAATGATGCCACCCAGGATCAGGCAATATAAATAAATATGACAATCTCCAACCTGAGCAGTGCTTAGGAAATCATTCCCCAGATACCACAGTTTTAGTCCACATGGTTTAAATATGTCACAATGACTTGATTTGATTGTGCCAGCCAGGTCAGTATTTAGTACCAGTGAGCTGGCTAAAAATATAGATGTTGGTGGGTGAGACAAGGGGCGTTCCTCACAAACTAGCCTTCCTTAACAGTGCCTCTGATCAGACGTGTGTACAAGGCACAAAATGTAGCATATTCTAGATATAAATGATATCATGGACCTGAAAGTTAAAGTAACCTCTTTCCATTTTTCCAGAACTAAGCTCAAAAGGCTGACAATCGCATGGATATGTCACTCTTGGTCTCAGTCTGCTAGCAGAAGTCCCCAGATAAGGCAAAAGAGGGCCAGAGTGAGCACTCTGGCTAGCTTCTGCCTCCCTTCTGTGAATGTCAGGCAGGCCAGGGGAGACGCTTCTGTTGCTGCCTCCACTCTTACAGGCAACAATTTAATGCCCATACCATTGTCTTTTACTTTGCCACTGAAGCAGGTCTTTTTGTATGTGAACACTCTTAACTTTAATAAATCACCTACTTATGTTTGCACAGGGACTTTGCCTACGTAGCAAGAGACCGAGACACGAGGATTTTGAAATGCCACGTATTTCGATGTGATACACCAGCAAAAGCCATTGCCACAAGTCTGCACGAAATCTGTTCGAAGGCAAGCTTTTGACTTGTTTAAAATATAAGAAGCCCAAGTGGTCACTTGATGTTTTCCTTACATTCAGTGCAGCTGTAATTAAGAAAATAAGTTCCCATACCGTAATCTCTAATATTTTCTACAAAAGTAAGTCTCATTGATTTCAATGGAACCAGCTTCTGTGTAATTGCAGTACAAGGCACACTGCACTTGCTATGCAAAGAAATGTATGATACTTCTGTACAGGAAAATGCTTCATAATGGAGAATTTGATCAATAGTAGACATAACTAGAGTAAATCAAGAAGACTTAAGTTAGCCTGAACTCTTTTCAGCGGCTCTATTCTAAGCATGGCTAAATCTGGATCCAAGCCAGAGTGTTTAGAAATGAAGACGGGGTGTGCAACATTTCCCTTCTGACATATTCCTGCTTCAACACCCCACCCACCTCTTTTTCACTCCTCATGCACAGGACTTCAGCTGTGAGTTTTTAACTTAGCCCATTAAACTGGCAGCCTCTCTATTAATGGGTTTGTTATTTAATTTTACTCTGTTATGGACATGTGAGCACAGCAACTTGGAGATCTGTTTTTGGATCAAGAAAAATAAAGTTGTACATAGTTTCTATTGCTTTCAGGGCAGGGTGTTTTGACCTAATGACGGCACCCTATGGCTGGCCACTAGAGCAAACACCTAGAGCCTTAGAATAAGTGTTAGGTTTTATCATGGCTGGCTTGAGATGGGGCAGAAAAGTGCTTAGGATGGCACATGAGTTGCCCATGCCCTGCTGCCTGTATTACTGCTTCTGTGGCAAGCCCAGACACCTGCAGATGTGCCAGGAGGGGGCTTTGTGTCATCCCCGGCTGCTGCAGCCCTCTTGTGCCTTTTGTCAGAACCATACTGCAGTTTGCCTTTGCAAAAGTCTAACAAATGCATTTGTGATGTGACAGTCCAAAGGATCAGGTTTCTAGAGTACCGGACTACAGAAGATCTTTCTGTATAAAGTTTTTTTAGCAGTCCATTTCATGAAGACTACAAATATACTTCAGTAAATCAGGAAAACATTTAAGTTTCCCAACTAGTTGGTTGTTACTTTTGCTCCAGTGTTGCTTTGCAATATGATTTTAGGTTCCCTAAATTTGTCCAATACGTGCTGTTAAATAAAGCCTGCAGAAATAAACCCTGCAGACCTAAATGAGGTTTACTCTGAAATAGGGGTGCAGCCATCTTTAACATATTTGGGAGTGAGTTCCATTCGGTTGGATCCAGACATAGTCCTAGTTAAGATAGATAGGCTGCAATTGATGGGGCTTAAGTTGGTCATGACCAAATGAGTTTAGTGGGACTTACTTCTAAATCGACATGAATAGAATCCTGCCTGTCTTACAGCATAAAAGACAAACCTTTAAAGAAAGCCCCTTTGAAAGATTTAAAAATTTTGGATAATGAAAAGAGGGTCATAATGCCAGCAAAATCCATGCTACTGCACTATATGGAAGAAAAATACTGTATTACTTTCCAGATTATGGCTGAGCGGAAGAATGCCAAAGCTGTGGCTTGCAGCTCATTGCAAGAGCGGACAGCTGCCACCCTTGATGTTCCCTTGCAAGGTACTGTATGGACTGGGATATTGTCTTCACTGCACACTAACTGCTTCCTTTTGTAATGTTAAATGACCACTAAACACGCTTAAAATATTTATGGCTTCTCTTCAGAGAGGTAGCCATTTCAAAGAGGTAGCAGATACAACCGAGAGCCTTGTAGCACATTAAGCACTAACAAATGTATCCTGGGATACATTTTGTAGACTGGTCCACAAACTCTTAGGCAAAAAGAAATGTGTTGGTCTGTATGCTGTTATTTATATTTGTGGTATGCAAGATTTGCTAAACTTACATCTCTATATTAAGTGGTAAATGTACTAGACTATTTTTGACCTTCTTTTAAAGGCTGACAGAATATATGTTAGATCCAAACATTTATGAACTTGAACATATCTGATTATTATATTTCTAGCCCACCTTTTTTCCTTCCAAAGAACTCAAGGCAGCTTACATAATCCTCCTCCTCCTCTCAATCTTATCCTCACAACAAACAACCCTGTGAGGTAGGTTGGGCTAAAAGTCTGTGACTGACCCAAAGTACCCAGTGAGAACTGAATAGAAACTAGAACACAGATCACCTGAGTCTCAGTCCCACATTCTTAACCACTACACAAACCTACTGTTGAATGCATTCAGTATTAAACTACTACCAAGCAAGCTATTTTAGCAGCATTGTTTATGGTTACTTTGATGCCTCATAGCAAACATATATTTCTTGAGCAATAATTGCATATGGTCTTGACACATTAAATGCTGTCCCTACCTATAACTCAGAACTATAGTTAATGAACAGGATATTTTTGTCAACAATTGGCCATGTTCCAAGCAATGTTCTGGACTTAGGAATACACTTGAGATGGTCATAAAGATTATGTATACCTCCTTAAGGATTGTGAGTAGATATATCAGTGTACATGTTCAGTATTGGTGTAATACAAATGCAGTGTCATGCTTAGGAATGATGTATTGATTCAGTAATAGGTCCTTCCAATCCTAAACACATCCCTGTTGACTCAGCAAACCATAACTGGGATTAAGGTAGAAAAATCTGATTTCGTGCAAACCTTTAGAGCAGGGATGGGCAATTGGTGATCTTCCAGATGTTGATGAACTACATCTCCCATCAGCCCTAGCTAGCAGCCAATAGAGAAGAACGATAGGAGCTGCTGTCCAGCAACATCTTGAAGATCAGTTGTTGCCAGTCCCAACTTTAGAGTGGTCAAAGTCCTTTATACCAAGTCAGACTTTTGGTCCATCTTTTTTACTACAGTCTAAAAGTCTAGCTAGCAGTAGCTCTCCAAGGTCTTTCCCAGTCTTCCTGTCTTTGATATTTTTAGCTGAAATCTATGATGACACAGACTGCCTTTGCACTATGACAACTACTATTCCATTTCCCAGAATGTGTGAAACATGAGCATAATCCTGTGGATTTTGAGGCATGATTAATTAAGCTTCCTTAACTCCGGAACATGGCTCTCTGCTTGTGTGTGCCTTTCTGTCTGTCTCCTCCTTGCTCTCTCTCACACAAAGAATTTGCTTTGCATGACTGAAAGGCTGTGGTGTGCTTTTCCTTAATTCCCCCAGAAATTAGCTAGGATCTTTTTTAAGGTTGAAGTAGAAGGAGCACAGGTTTATTGGAATCAATAATTGTATGCCTAGAAATCAATTACCTGGTAAATTATTTCTTCTGTCATTAAAATAAGGATGTTTTGCATGATGGGAATGTTGATGAGATGAAATTGATTTTTTTGTTCCCATGCAGTAGATTTCCCAACACCAAAGACAGAGCTGGTCCAGAAGTTCCATGTACAGTACTTGGGCATGTTACCTGTAGCTAAGCCAGTGGGTATGTAGCATCCTTGTTCATCACTACCTTAACATTTGTCTGTCAACATCTGAGAGCTAATTTCTGTGTGCCATTCACAGGTGAACAACAAAAACGGGATTAAAACACACCTTAATCATAGAATGTTCTATCCAGTATAGCACACTGATTCTGACTGTAGCATTTTAGCAATCTTTTCTTTAAAAAAAGGTTCTCATAGCACTTTATAAAAACCAATAATGCAGCAGTCACTGCCCTCAAATGCAAAAGAGACAACACAATAGGAAAAGGGATTGGGCTGGAGGATGAATAATGCACAAACTCAGGGACTAGTTTGTGGGTTGGTAACCTCAGACCCAAAGACCAAGTTTGGCTGTCCTGGGACCTGACCTATGGCTCTCCTAGGTTTCCTGAATGACTGTATGCCCATCTCCTCAAATCACTGATTGTTTGGAGATTTCCTGACCTTTATCCCCCTTCTAAAACATTGAAATGCATTTCCTGAGGCTTCATTACTGTCAGTAAAAGCTTTAAACCCCAATACGTCAGCATGACTTGAATTTTGGGCCCAATCCCTTTTGTGTTTGTCCACCATTGCAATGTCATCTCCAAAAGCTTCTCTAAACTTGAATTCAGCACTTGGGCTGAAAGCAGAATTGATCTTGTGTTTCTCTCTCTCTGCAACTACAGGGATGGACACACTTAATGGTGCTATAGAAAGTCTAATGGGTTCCTCTAGCAAGGAGGACTGGATACCTGTCACCATGAACGTTGCTGATGCGACCGTGACAGTCATCAGTGAAGGAGTAAGGCACAACCTGGCTTCTCTAAAATTAGGAACACATCATCTGCAGTGGCTTTTCTTAGCTGAGAAACTGGAACTTGCATTTATTGGTGTTTTACTTTTCTCCAATAAACTTTCATTTTATTTAGGTTTATTGGAAATAAAGAGAACTTGCTGTCGACATTGGCTGGCATCAGCTGCCCCGAGTTTCAGACAGGCGCCTTTTCCAGCTGGGCTTTGAATCAAAGATGTCCAGCATGCAGAGCTCATGTTGTGCTACCAAGTTACATGTACATGCCAAAGTACAGGCCCCTTCTCCATTCTCTCTCCCCTCGTCACAAAAGTGATCACTACTCATTACTGCACGTGTGTCTGGATCAGGACAAGTGTTCTGCCACTCACACTAGTTAGATGATGTGGTCTTTTTCACCAAGCACTCCCTGGTGATTCTGCAGGCTGTGGTTTTAGAAATGTAGATTTGTACATTCCTCTTCATGCTTCCAGAAGTAATCCATCTCTAGTTTTTTGGTTAATGCAGCAGCTTCTCATATATAGTCTTCATTGAAGTACTTACTGAAAGTTATTTTGTATGCAAAAATATCACATTTTTATTGTGATGGTTGATGTACTGGAAGAGTACTGTCTTTGTAGGGTCCTTCATGTATTTTTCTAGTCCAAGGATACTCATTTGTACTTTAGTCAGCCTTTTCTCTGCATGTTTTAGAAATTTGTTTTAGGTTTGCTCACTTAGCCCTAATTGGTGCTATTCAAAGAATTAATTAATTCAGCAGCCAGATTAGCAACTATTTAGACTCAGCTCCTAAAGCTAAATTATAGTGGAAACCTTTCCTACCTAACTAGAATGAAGAAGAAATTCTGGTGGAATGCCGGGTCCGGTTCTTGTCTTTCATGGGAGTGGGTAAGGATGTCCATACGTTTGCCTTCATTATGGATACGGGAAACCAGCATTTCGAGTGTCACGTTTTCTGGTGTGAGCCCAATGCTGGCAATGTATCGGAAGCTGTTCAGGCTGCTTGTATGGTAAGTAACTACAGTACAGTTTGTATAAGTAATCGGAAATTCAAACAAAGCAGTGCATCCAATTCCTTTTGAAATTATATTTTAAGTTATTTAAACACCATATGAAGCTTTATGTAAGTAAAATAATCCTAGTTATTTTTTAAAATTGTCCTGATAAATTGACCACTTTCTTTCATTCTGCACTTGCATCTTCACATTTAACACCATGTTTCTAAACATTAGTGTCACCTTCTTTCCTGCCTCCTTGGCTTTAATGCTATTAGCAGTCAATATTGCAAGCAATTACGTGCACAGAATGATAACCACAGAAATAGTGTAAAGCATGAGAGGCGCAGAAATCAGCCTCAGCATTTTGCAAGAGAACAATGTGCATTTACAAAAAGAAACAACGGAAAGAAAGAATTACAAGGTTGATGTGAATAACCAGAATCCCCTGCTTCTGTGGAATTGTTCTGCATTTATTTCAAAGATGTTTGGTGGATATCCTCCTTTAAATTGCTGAGTGCCCTGGGCTACTGGAGGAAATTCCAGCACTAACCAGATAGTAAGCAGGGGCAACTTCTACCGTTCAGAGTAGGAGAAGGATCACTCCCAGCCACTACAATCAAGGTATATTCATTTAAATTTAGAGGTTTCTGTCTTATGACAAAGCTGCCAACATCCAAAAGACTTACACTTTTTTTAATGAATTGGTTGGTTATATAGCATCAAAACCACAGTGATTTGTCCTGGAGTTCACTAATGATTATTTATTTCCTTACTTACCATGACTGGGATCCTAACCAGTACTTTAGTAGGAGGGTGTCAGTTATGCCCACGGTGAATAATTGCTCTGAGAAGAAACTCCTGAAAGTGCTTTATACCTGCTCTTGTGTTGCACAAACCCTCTTTCAGTCTGATGCAGGTTACAAGCAGGAGCTTTATGAAGGTCCTCATCAAGTGCCATACATCACCAATAGGCATTTAGGTTGGTGGCTCAGAAATTGTGCAGACCTGTCCACTCATAGGCAAATCTCAGTCCTTCTGCAGATTAGTAGTTACTGTGTCATATAGACTTGGCAGAATGTTTTCCATAAAACTGAAGGGACGGCATCACGCTAATGATTGCAGAACACCTTTGCTTTCTTGCAGCTACGATATCAGAAGTGCTTGGTAGCCAGACCGCCTTCACAAAAAATCCGACCACCACCTCCTCCTGCAGACTCAATGACCAGAAGAGTCACTACTAATGTAAAACGAGGGGTATTGTCCCTCATTGACACTTTGAAACAGAAACGCCCTGTTACTGACACACCATAGCAACTTACAAGCAAGCAAGTTTTCTTAGAACATCTAGCAGAAGATACAGTAGCCACATTAAAGAAGATGAACTGATTTTTGGCCTTCCAGTTAAATTGGTGATGCTTTGTCTCCAGAGAATTTACCCATATCAAAATAATATTAGACAAGCATGTTCTCTCGTTCTTGCCACCATCATGTGATATGAAAAGAAGCATGAGTAATTTTTTTTCTGTGAGTTACGCACCATGAGAAGTGGAAGGTCTGCTTTCCAACTGTAAATATTATGAACATTACTTCAGTTCACCCATACACAGGAAGAGAATCTGGCACGTCGCTCCTGAACCCTGGCGAGAACCGTGCCCAACCCGTCACCATCCTGCGCTGGATTTGTCACAAACAGTCCTGAAATTCTGCTGCACTTTGCCCCCATTTTAAACACTGAAGTACATACCAAGTATTAGTTACTATTATATGATTGTAATATGAATACTGAGCTTTTTATTTTTATTGCATTCATTAACCAATCTTTCATCTTGTGCACCATAGTAATCATTATTTAATCTTTTCTGTCTGCAAATTGGCTAAGCTTCAACATGACAAGTTTCTTATACAAATAACACTTCTATGCTGAAAATAATGTACAAACAATATTCCAACTTGTTGCCATTGCATTCAACAGTTTCATTGTATATACCAGCCCTGGGAAGCTGCCCCAGCTCACCTTTTCCCAGCATTCATATATAAACAACAAAATAGAAGTGCAATATTGTTGCATCACACAAACATAGTAGTTTGTGTGCTTTCTCTTATATTGAAGTGCTGTCCATGTGGGAAATCTGGCATATTTGAAGTGGCCTCCCTTTTTGAAAGTGTGTTTAAATACTAAATCATATTTAAACGGTCATTCTGGAAGTATGCATTGTCTTTCCATTTTGAAGCAAGCCAGTCCTGGCACTGGTGATACTAAAGCTCACCCACCTTAAATTTTTCATAGATACTGGCCTTTGCTTTTGTATGTATTTATCCTGATACATTGTGGAAGCTAAGCACTGGCTTGCCAATTGCCCTTGAAGGCTGAAAAAAAGTTTTTAAAACTGCATTTAACTTTTTACCATTCTAAACTGCATGTAATAGAATAGGCCATTGCATTACAAATGTAACTGGTACTTGAATTCCAATGCCAAGTGGAACTTCAGAATTAGAGAAGAAAATAATTTTTAAGAAGGGGAAGAAAAACTCAAGTCTCACAGGTTAGGTTTCTTGCCCTTAGGGTAGCAGTACATAAGCAGCCTAGTGAGTTTACATGGATTGTATCTTACTTGAGTTATAGGATTCAAACTATGTCCTATTTCATTTCCTCCCACCAAAGCTGGGTGCCGAGCCAGTAGTTTAATGGCACACATTAATGACGTTTTTACTACGTAAGATCTGTTCTAAGTTGCTGCCTTCTGAGAAACAATATTTTACTTTAAGTAAAATTAAGAAACTATACATTATCTAATAGATTTTGTCTGTGAGATACAGAGGCCAAACAGCATTTGACCTCTGAAATTTCAAGGAAAATTTGTCATGTTGCAGCTTCCATGACAAACACTACATGAAAGTTCCTTCTGACTTGTAATTGCACCTTACATCGTTTGTTGCTTCTAGTGGTTCTTTGGTATTTTTCATATGTACTATTTATCATTCATATAATATGTAGCACAAGTTCACCTGCACAGCTGCCAGAGGAAGAGCCTTAGAACCCCATTTATGCAGTGGTCATTTGCAAAATGGTAGAACTGAGGCTGTTCAGCATATCGAATGTACAAAGAGGGCAGGGAAGCCAGGCTTGGCTTTGGCACAGCTTCTCCTGCACACTCCCCACCCCAGGCCACAGAAAGGCAGAGCTGGCAGATTTATGCAAAAGCATCTAAAGTAGACCTTGCTCCTATCTTCTTTTGTACCACATGAAAAGGAGGCATGCAATTTGCCTTGTCTCCAATTTGTACAAAAGGTTTGAAGTATAGAAAGACTGAAGAGCTCAACACAAAGGCCTGTGTGAATCAGCCTATGGCAACATTGTAGAAAGCTTGTGCCCTCCAGATAGATTGGGACAATACCTCCCATCTTTCCTGGGGAATATAACAAATATAAGTCTACGTGGAGGGCCCAAGCTTAGGGAAGGCTGGGCTATAGTTTCCAAACAAGGCAGTGGGTAGAAGGTGCTAGGCCTTTGAAATTGCAGCAAAGGCATTTCTGAGAGGAAGAGCGAGATTACAAAACCCCTTGAGAATATTGCGCAAATCTTGCTTCTATTTTGGAAACTGTGTGTAAGAATGCACAATGTGTGCTCAAATATGTTATGCCTATCTTAGATGCTATGGCTTATTGTAGCTTTCTGCAATGAGCATACATGGCAAAATAGAAATGTGCATCATTAATATTTGAGGGTATATATGTTGCTTTCCTACACAGAAATTATACGCTGGAAGACAATAATTTCTAGGAAACTCGATTTGAGGCAAATGAGAAAGGCTGGAGAAAAATACTACAAACTGGAATAACTGGGCTCAGGCTAGAGTGTGAACTGCTTAAAAAAAGACTTTCCATCTAAAAGTACTCCCATTTTTCTCATACTTTCTCTCTCCCCACAAGGCCTTCTTTTTATTCTTACTCCAAGGACCATCAGCTGTTGTAAAATCAAGTTATAATAATTCTTGACATTAGCCATAGGCAACATAAGGCTATTTTACATATCCATATTTATCACTTGTTGACTGGAACATCAAGTAGTGACTTGCATGTGTGATTGTGTCACCATATCACACCTTTTCGTATCACTTCAATCTGTTGCTCAGTAGAGTCAGCTCATGCATTCAGTTGTAGGTCTTCAAGTGGTGAATAAACATCCATGCATATGTAAAGTAGCCACGGTGATCTACTGATCTTCGGTGAGAAAACATATTTATAATGGTCTTCCTCTATTTTTAAAGGTCTATTGCAGGGTAACAAGACCAGAACTGAGCCTATGCATAAAGAAACGTAAATTTTTTAAGTTATAATTTTTAAAAATGTGATTATTTTCTGACATCACCACCTATGCAATTTGAGTATAGGGGAATTTATCTTGTGTGTGAAAGAATAATTAACCTAAAAGGAGTACAGCTGCATAGCTTAATGATTACCAGACATTAGAATTGTAAACATGACAAGTCAAGCACATGGTACTTTTCAAGTAGGCAAATTCTTGGATCTGTTTTAGCCAAGTACTTGCATTCCATTTCACTTAAAGAACCCCTCACTTTTCACTCACCCCATTTTCAGAAAATGCATGCTGGCTAATGGCAGCCATCCTTCTTGAAAGTTATTTGTAACAATTAAGTAAATTGTACACAAGGTGGTTTTTTTTAATTGTATGCTTATTGCCCTATGGTCCTAGCCACTTCACAGGAAATTAATTCTAACTACTTTACAGCAAATGAATTCATTTGTATTTAAGTAGCCAGCAGATGTTTTGTGGAGCCCAACTTCTTCACATTCAGCAGAAATGCAATAGAATGTCTACCGAAGGTATTGGGAAGACAAATAGCTCTCTTTTCAAGTAGTTTTGGATTACTTGCTATATTATTGTTTTTAACTTTTGACTAATGTTTGGCATTAAGTTGCACTAGTTGAGAGTGGCATTCCCATTCCTTAAAATCCAAGTTTTTAATACAAAACCAAGACACTTATTTACCTGAACTTTGTTTATGGACTCTCCGTGGGCAGAAGCGCTATCTTTCTCTGAGTCCCAGATGCGGAGGACAACACAATAGGAAGGCCATCATGTTTATGACCTGTTTGTGAGCTTCCAGAGGCATCAAGCTGACTGCAGCTGGAAACAACGTGCTGGATTGGATGGAGCTTGGTCTGATTCAGTAGGGCAGTTCTTTTCATGAAAAACCACAAGCTTTTTTCTACCATGGCCAAAATGGGTTGAAGTATGAACAAATGCCAATGACTTTACTCAATGTTGTAGTGACACTTCTGTTATCTATGCATTCTTTATATCTGACAAGGCAGCCATGTTCACTATGCCTTGGATATTCCATGTCTTTTTTTGATTAACCTGTTAAATACAGCTTAAATATTTTATTTTATTTATTCTATTTTTACTGAAATATTCAATTAAGTTGACATATCTTTATTACTGGATGTGATCTTGCAACTATATCCAGTGCTAAGTAATCTCAGTGTATTATAGGTTGCCAAAAGACAGAGGATTTTTGTAATTATTTGTAGTCACCTTTTTAATTGAGTAGGTAGAAGTAAATGGCAAAATAATGTGTAAAGCTAACTTCTATTATTTTTTAAAACACAAAAAGCAAGTTAGATGCTGCTGTCACAGACAACCTCATTCATGTACTATGTTGAAGGAAGGGAGGAGACGGTTAACCAGTCATTTGTAATAGCTCCATACCTTTCTTCTCTCCCTCAATCTGCGTAGTTACCCTGTTTGTTACTTTGTTTATACAAATCAAGTACTATTTCTTTAAATATGTTTTTCATATAAAAATGAAGAACCATCTACAAAAGGAAGTAAAATGCATGAAATGGCACCAATTCTACTTCTATTACGAGACGTTCTTAGCCGTAAACTTTGTGTGCAGAACCACCTGAATTCAAAGGTGAAAGGATGGGGGCCTTTTATATCTGAGAAGAAATCCCTCAGAAAGCCAAGTACAAAGATGGCACCATTTACAAAGTTTTTAAGGAGTTTATTTTTAAAAGAAGTGTGAAGTCAATGAAACAGGAATATTAAATGTGAAGGAAAAATGGTTTTATCGGATTCTCCCTTAAGAACTCAGCTTCTAGAGGGCTATCATTGCCACCATTTGCTCCTCTTTTTGGCAGGCCTAGCTATTTGAGTGAAAGAAGTGTGACTAAGCAGAAGTAGCTTTGATTTATTTCACTATCTGGAAAAGAGAAAAGGGAAAATACACAGAGTTTATCTGCAAGAGCTCTCAGTATTACGTGAAGTAGTGGATTTTAAGACTTTTTTTCCAACATTGTCCACTTTTTACACATTTAAATGTAATCTGTTGCAAGAATAAATTTAGCTGCATTAAGTGCTTTCTTGTGTTTGTGCAGTCAAAACTTAAACTCAAGAATTATTACCACCTCAGAACTATCCAATGCATGAAAAAACTATCTAGAAAAGCCACCACTGCTACAAATAATTGTGTCAAGTTAGTAAAAGAAACAATTCTATCTCTTACATTACCACAAGATTAAAATATAGACATATTTTAAAGAAGGGAATCATTTTAATAAAAGAATGACTTTTCAAATGTTTAAACAAAAATTAGAAGTTGTAGCTGATCTAGTGCTACCATATAACTGAGGAGGATTATAGTTGGCATTTGTGGCAGTACAGTGGTGAAGGATATATGCTGGGAATCCCCCTTTTCACATATATCAGGAATCATGGATGCCCTAGACCACTGGAAATCCATCCTCTGTTGTCTCTTCATGATAATGCTGACCTAACTTGCAGAAGTTGCGTAAGGATCACAAAGGATTTATAAGGTTCAGAAAACCTGATGACACTTAAACTAACATGGGGTGTGAGCAACGCATAGATGTCACACTGAAATTCTGGCTTTGTATAGAAGGACGGGCTGTGAGAGTCTTCAGTTCCCTACTTAAAAATACCAATGTATTCTTATCTAATCTCAATCCACATCAATTATTGAAAACTACCTTATGGCAGCTACCTTATTCAAAGTATAAACAAAGTCCATCTATCTGCTAATTGAAAGATCTTTAATGCCACCAGAAAGTGGCCAGAGTTAGGCTTATGTCTTTGCTATCTTAGTAGAAACATAGTTTTTAAAATAATTCCTACTATATATTTTGTTTAGAAACATCCACTGCATCTTACAGGTTGAAGAACAGGGCTAGGGTTTTTTTTCTGCTTTAATCATTTTGAAACTTTTCAACAACTATTTAAGGAAACACTGTAATTTTTTTAGATTGACTTTAAGTGCCAGGTTGAAATTTTCATTAAGTGCAACTACTTTTTGTGTGCATCCCACAGATTAGTCTAAAAGTCCCAAAGGAAAAAATACACTACTAAAGAAACACATCAGAACCCAAAATGTTCATCTTCCTTTTTCTCGGAGAAATTCAAGAAACTCTTGATTCTCTTATCAGCCCAGCCGATACCCCAAAATCATTCCATGTTTGTCATTTGCATTCTTCTCAAATTACCACCAATTAAATCTAGTTATATATTACAAGAATATCCTAACAAATCAGAAAGACTGTTTTGTATGATACAAGATGTCTCTGTTCCCACCATGAAGAAGTAATGTTTGAAAATATATCAAAAGATATGCAAGTGGTTCCTTTAAGAAAGAAGGTTAGGACTGCTTTCTTTATTACAAGGACAAGGTAGACAGCAATTCAAAACCCCATTATAATTAGATATAGAAAATCTTGAATAGATTAAAGCAGGAAAGGGGGAATAAAATACTACATTTAAGAAATGTATTTATCAGGAATTGTTTAATAGGCCTTATTTCGTTTAACTCTGCTGCATAATAACCTGAAAATGTATATGGACTTGCTAGTAAAGTTCAGTGTCTAGCAGTACCAGAATGAAACCATCCAAATTACACTGCCACACAAAGCCAGAAAAATGTTATTGTTTAAACTTCTGAACCCCCTTTGTTGAGCTCGAGATGCTTGAAGCCCAAACTGTTACACGCTTTCAAAAATGTCCTTTTGGGAGGGAAGATTTGAGTTGATTAATAAACAAGCCAAAGTCTTGAAAGATGTTGTTGCAGACTGGAAACAATTTTAGAAAAAAAAAAGAAAAGGTAATGTATGCAACAAGAATGTAAAACATATCAAGTGAGTAAGTACCAAAAACCTTCTATTTTTAGAAGCCCTGTTCTTGTTTATACCTGTAATGGTTAGCTTTAAAATTCAGCATATACAAGTACACTGAGACACCATCTATCTCTGCTGTTCTCTACGCTGATAAGCTATTGCCCACATAAACTTTTTTAGTTTACCCTTATGATTTACATAATTTGAGTGTGCACATTAAATTTAGGCAGTTTGACATTCAAAATGTTCTGAAGCTGCATTGTAACAATTACATAATACAAGCCTTTGCAGAACAGCCCTTCTGCTACCTTCGTAATAGCCATGGAAAGGAATTCATGCTTTAACTACCTCCTAAAAACAGTTTGTTTCCTCTGCAGATGAATATTTGGTGCCCAAGTGATACATGGTTTTGTTTTGTTTTTTTTTACCATTAGGGGAATACAAACTTCAGTCTCTAAGACTTTTGATAAATAAGCAGTTACAATAGGGTGTCTTCAGAGCCAAGGGCGAGAATGCTTGGCTGTAGAAGATGGCAAGGATTCTTTAGACTTAATCAGTTTTTTGGATGGAGAAGGGCTAAGCACACCGTATGTTCCACTTTTTGTTCCAACCCAATGGTAATAATAGTGGTTAGACGAAATCTGGGATCTGTTTCCTTGTGGGTTGAAGTATGGCATCATTACTGGAGGCAGGACAATTTCAACAGGTTTCAGGATCATCAGTTTATCATCACACTTTGGTTTCCTAACATTTTGTTGTCTTTCCAGCACTTTTTGCATGGATGATGTGAGAGTGTTCTTTGACATCACAGGCAGAGATGGGTTTGAGAGGGGCTTTGCTGTTTTCTTCAAGGGAATGGAACTGTTTGGCTGGTTTACAATCTGAGAGGCACTGGTAGTTATATTAGATACTGAACTGTCTGAATCAATAGTTGCAGGTTTCATTTCTCGTTCTAGAAACTCCTGAATTCTGGACTGTATCACGGCCTCTTTAACAGCATTCTTTGGCTGAGTTACTTTGTGTTTCTTCTTCTTTTTCTCTTCTCTCTTTGGTGGCTTTGCTAAATCAATACCTTCCAGCAACCCTTTGGCTGCAGCACGAGCTAAAACATCTTTCACTGACACTGATTCAGATGGATCCCTCTAAAAAGTTAAAAGAGCATGTATTAGCATGGTCAAAATCAAGAAATACATGGTCAGTCATCAGTATCATGTATTGTGCAGAAGAACACAGAAAAACGAATTCTGTACAAATTGTAACACTTTGTCTTACAGTAATGGAAACTTGTGCTCCTCCAGATGTTTTGGCTTACAGCTCCCTATTAGCTCTATACAGCTTAGCCAATGGTGAGGGATTGAGGGAATTAATAGCCTGCAACATCTGGAAGGCCACAAGTTGCTCTTTCACCTTTGATGTATCACTACTCTCTGAACTCTCCAGAGTTCACCAATTAGGCCTACTCCTAATGGTTGCCTAGGGACTCCAACTCTTTGCTTTAGTGGTTCTAACCTTATTGTATTCTAGTTTTACTACAGTAGTGGAGTAGTTTCTTTTTATACCATGTTATTACCAAAAGGTGGACAATTCCCAGGTAACAAACAACAAATATTTTTCTCATAACAAGAAAGCTTTGCACCAAAGTCCATGGCTAATTTCTGCTCTGACGTTTGGTGGCCCTGAACACATCATCGCTACTCCTGTTGAGTTTAATAGTATCTTATGTCCTAGGGCAAAACAACACTGCAATATTAAGTCTGGCTTGTTTAACCCCTAAACAGTCCCGAGTGCCTGGGTGAGTGCAGGTTGATTGTTCAAAGTGGAACTGAATTGTGCACAAAAAGCAGCGTGTTCACTGTCATTCATGCTCAATAACGCACGGGTTGGCATTCTGTTCAAATCAGTCATTGTCTGCCATTCAAAAAATCTCTGCCGCTGTAACAGGGAACCAAAACAAACAAACAAAACAGGGAAGCCAATGGGAAATTACCTCTGCGGGGAACCCTTCACATTTCTTGCTCCTGTTAGGAGATAATTTTCATACACTAGAGCCAAAAGCTCTCCACAGATGACTTTTACTTCAGCCAAAAGCCTAACACAGCTGGTCTAGGAAGCCTCATGATAGCAATTTAAGCTAATGTGTATCAAGTGGGGTGAATATTTATATGATTCAATGGTAAAGACATTTAAAAGATTAAAATTCTTATTTATATTGAAGTTTGTTTTTTAAACTAGGACTTACTTCTCGAGTTAGGACAGCTATAAAACAGCTGTTAGAAATATCTGATGGTTCCAGTTTGAAAAATTTATCTGCAGAACTGCTTATTTCTGATTTGCAACACAAAGGAAGAACAGGTGGACAAAGCCTATAAGAGATATAAACCCAAAACAATAATTACTGTCTCCTTAAGTAAAAACATTTTAGCCAAATCTTGGCCTTCCTGTAGCCCTCTAAAGAGTAGGTAAGTATAATGCTATAAAAGATAAGGGGTCCAGTCCTTCCCCAAGCCCTGCATTTCAAGCATTGGTTTTTCATGAGCTGTATTAAATAAGCATGCTAAGAGATAGATACAACACAAGTCTGATGATATACCATCACAAACTTGCAAATTCACTTTTCGTAGTCTAATTCAGTCTACTTCTTTATCATTTGTTCTTTTCATTCTCTGGCAGAATGCCAGTACTTTACTAATATATAACGGAATTACAATGGTTTCTACTTGTCATAAGGGTAGGAAAAACACTTCTGAAATTGCTCTGCACAACTACATAAGATCTTACTCTTCACCTTGGTAGGAGAGTGCTATTATTCCAACTTGGGTGGTATAACCCAGACAGTTAAAACCATGCAGCACAGGAAAGTGGAGCTGTGCATGATGGACATTGAAATCAGAAAGGGGCATGGGGTTGGCCCTGCTCTCTCTCAATGCTGAATTGTAATTGTGTGGTTTCCCAGAACAGGGCTAAAGTAAGACAAAGAAGCTCAGCATTTTGCACCATCTTCTGACAGGTCACAAATGAGTAAAGAACGAAAGACTTGTTTGGTGACTATTCAAAATTCTACAGGTTTCTGGAGTAATTTTGGAGTCTCCTGCAGAACAACGAAAATGGTATTCCTAGTATAACAAGTCCTATTGGCCATTTTGGGGACTGAATCTGTGTAAAATTATTTCTTATACTTTTCTACCAGAAAAAGACTTAACACAGCACCATGGCTGCCATTCAGGCACTGCTCCCCGTAGCTGCCCACTGGTAAACACACACTTGCTGCTGGTGCAGTTTGGTCCTCAGGCTGCAGGGGCAGATATGGCTTAAAGACCTGCAGCAACAACCTTATACATCCTCCCTTGTGAATAGGTCAGTAGCATTTGTGACCAAATAGCCTGAATCAACGGGGCCTTGTGAGATGGGCTCTCATGCAAGCAGAACACCTGCTTTTTCTAGCAACAGTTTTTGCACTTCTACTTTAGGTCTAAAGTGCTTACAAACCAAAGCCATTCAGATGGCCATCCAGACAGAAGATATATACATCACAATCAGAAAGTTAATATTTTGACTGATTTTATACTTAAGCTTTTACCATTTGCTGCACTTTGGAATCGGATGTTTGCAAATAAAAGGAAACGTTATTAAAGCTAATGAAAGCCTGCTGTTTACTTGTAGGGCTGAGCTTTTGTTCCTTCTGCTCCAGATGCTAGCGCTTTGCTCACCACAGCTTCATTTTCTTCTGGGTAAACTGAACAGGTGCAGTAGACAACAGCTTGCACTTTAGTAACTACAAGAATTTAAGATAACAATCCAGCTGTTATAGTAATGCCTAGTTCAAACACTAAAGATTAAGCATGAGCTATTAACTGCTTCTGCAAATATTAAAATCTAATCCAATTTGCATAGTTATGAGCCTATTACAAGAACAACCAGGAATTCGCATTTTGCCAGAAACGTTCCCAGTGAAATCTCAAACTGTCTCATGATCTCAAAAACTGACATCTTTCCCCTATATCATCTAAAATATTGGGCAATATCCAACACTCCACTGCATCTCCACTAGGTCCTTGCCTAGCCCCTTTTCTGTTAGCTTCCCACTGACAGATTTATTTAAAAAAAAAATTAGACAGGCCTTAGCCTATGATTTGATATCATGCTTTAGGTCTCATTTTCAGCATGTGCTATTCTTTTCCTGCTTTTTCTGCTCTTGTTTTCAATATCGTTATATTTCAAAATGACAATATTACTGTACTTTTAATATAACTGCATTGTTTAATATGAGTGCTATTACTATTCTGTAATACAAAATCTCTGAAGAAAGGAGATATATAAATTGAAATGATAAATACAGAAAATTATCTCCCATGGTGGTGAGACATAAAAAGCGGCCTCTGAGCTAATCGTAAACTACAGGCAGGTTTAATGCTAGTACTTTGAATCGTACCTAGCAGCAAACTGGGAGCCTATGTAGTTGATTCGTGTGATGGTCAACAAAGCACCCACAAAAGAGCAACTTGGCTGTCACATTTTGCAGTAGCTGCAGTTACTGAACAGTCTTAAGGAGAGGACTGACAGAATTTGTTGTGATCTGAACAGGAGGGAAATTTATCACAGCATCACCAGTCTGCCTTCTCTAAAATGTTCCTGACAAATGGGGCGAAGAGAGAAATCTTGATGAAAAGTAGTTATTCCCACAGGAGGCAGGAGGGGATTTATGGTGCCATGGGATATCCCTTCCAGTGTAATCAGAAGACAGGGCCAAGTGCTGATCAGCTGCTTTATAACTCCTCTAGTCTCCTAGAATAGACTGGAAAAAAACCAGGAACTTTAATTCCTGCTGTCTCCAAAAGACAAAGCTAGTACAGGAACAAACTGAGGGACTTTTCTGCTGATGCTCCGCTTCTGGGCTGCTATGCAGTGTTAGCTGCCTGCCCACTCTTCTGCCATCTTTTCCAGATGCACAGGACAGGAGAGCCTCAAGGGAAACCAATGCCTTCTCAACTCTGTGAAAAGTTATTCAGAAACTACTAGGTGACTGCTCATTTGCATGACAATAGCTTCAGCTGCTTATCTGGAAGTTGCAAGAAATGGCATGGCACAGTGATCAGAGCACTGGATAAGGGACTCGGGAAAGGGCAATTCTAGTCTCCGTTTGGCCGTGGCTGACTTTCAGCCAGTTTCTGACTCTCACCTTAAACCCATCTCACAGAATTTTTGTGTGGACAGAATGGAGAAGGAGATTACGTAAGTCACCTAAGGTTCCTTGCAGGAAAAAGGAAAGGATATATATTTAATAATGAAATGTCAGTATCCACAAAATTACATGAAAGTTACAATAAACATATTTGCCCTTTTCATTCTTCAGCTGATAGCTCTTTTAAGCACCATTCTTACAGTGTAAGACAAACAGTACTTTACACATCTATGCAAGAGCACTTAAACATGTACTATCTTCCATCAGCATATACAAGATTCTTACTACGTGCTCAAACATTTTATAACATTTCATTTTTTAATCTAAGGGAGAACTTTGCTCCTCCTAAGTGGATGTATTTTTTAATGAATGTAATTTTACTGGAAGCAGAAGCAGGGGAATATGTTAATTGTTTAGGACTGCACAAAGCAACATTTACTCCAATTCTTTCTTGATCATTAAGGAAAAACTTACACTGCATTGCATGTGTTAGTTCTTTCAGCTGCTGTTGAGCAAGTGTATGCAGTTTATCTTCTGCTACAGACCCTTGGGAGAGATCCCTAAGTAATTCTGCATCTAAAGAAAACATGATCAGTAGAAAGACAAGCAACTATGCAATGCGCTAGCATCTATTTATTTTTGTGCCTGCTAGAATTCATGAGACACACATGCCACAACTCAGAACAGATCCACCACAGAGGAGCCCACATGGTCAACACTTAGGTGACTATTGATACACATCACATTTCTTAATTATTTCAATATATCAGGACAGATGGGAGTTCCCAGTTAATATATACCAGGGATGGCCAAACCGAGCCTCAGGAGCTGCATGTGGGTCAGCAGCTCGCCACCTGCCGCCGCCACTCACAGGTGCCCGCTTGCCATCCACCGCAGATGCCCATGGGTGCCTGCTTGTGGCTCTCAAAAATCTGACATTTAGCGTACATGCATTTCCATTCAGCAAGTCTGGCCACCCCACTATAGTCACTATTGCTATATTTATCTTCTATTTATATAGCATCATCAACACAGCAGAGAGCCCCAAGTAATTTACAATATAAGGTACATGTAACAAAACATAAACGAGGAAAGACAGACAGAAAAGAGGTGGGCTTATGCAGCCAAATACACACAGTGAAAACTTTTGTAACAATGAAGTATACCACAAAATTCTTAGCCTCGTTATGCTCACTTAAAATGTTAGTATCTACTTTAAAGTAAGACACAGTCCACGTCACATAAAACACAGGAAAGGAGTATCCCCTGCTCCCATTTTGTGGACATTAACAGTGGCTTGGAAGAGTTCTTGGCTGATTATACCTTCAGAACTCTTTCCATAGAAACAGGGAAAGAACCAGTTCACATGATCAAATAAGCCATCAAAGCTTATTGTAGCTACAGCGGGCTGCAATGTGGGCAACCAGCTATTTTGAATATTAAAGACATGGTTTCTGTCATCGGAACCTGAGCAGCAGAAGGCATGTGAGGGTTAAACAAACCTCACATAACCAGTGGCTTCTTTCAGGGTTATGCAGGACCTGTTTCACTCTCATGAAACACACTTTGCCTGGGTTTGGATGACACAGCAAGGCACAGGCATGGCTTGAATATTCGAAAACTGCCTAGCAGAAACCATGGCTCAGAAAGTGGGCCACCATAATCATGTAAACCAGGTAACTGGTTGATAATATCCAACAAAGCAGGCAGGAGTTCTACCACACCCCGGTTGCTGCTCTTTGAGGGCAAGGAGAAAGAGATTTTTCACTTTGTATACAGTTATGTTGTCATAACACTTCTGAGTCAGATGGGAAGTCCTTGAGGGCTAGATTGAGCCTTGTCTTGCCAGTTGTTCTTTCCTGGTTTGTGTTTGCAGCTCACTGGCCAATTTAAAATTGGATGAACCAATAGATACCAAGTAATGCATCAATGCAAGGTGTCACAAAACATAAAAATGTTCTGCTTGACCTACAGGTAGAGAACATGGAAATGGTTTAGGATACAACTAGTGACCAAAAATGATACTTTCTGCATATTGCAAAGAACCATCAACAGCAAGAACACCAAGCTAGATGAGACAACAATTTTAACCCAAGAGAACTGTTTTGTAAAACAATCAATTGTACGTTACCTTCATGCTCTTTTAAAATAAATTCTATTGGATTGCTAACACCCATTCCTGAACACCGAGGCAGTAGCAAAATTACTTTCACTTTTTGGAGCTTGTGATCCGTTGGTTCAATATTTGTAAAATCCTCATGTAGTAGCTCAATGTCTGTGAGGAAGGTGGAACAATGGAGTCCACAAGTTACATAACATAGAACTAATAATTCAAATGAGTCCTGATAAACTCAGCACTTAATTAAAGTCATTAACCATACCAAGAAAGAAACCATGAACAGATAATTACAGAAGCTTCTGAATGTATGTATTACCAACTGGTATTAATATATGCTACCTCGCAACGAAAGCTATCCCATGCTTACTTTTGCACTCCATTTGTGTGAACAGTTCCTTCAGTTCAGCTTCTTTTGCTACTGACTTTACTCCACATACGAACACTTTGGATGTCTCCTGATTCGTCAGCACTGACATATGGGCCAGAGTGAGCCACGAGCCCATGTGTGCTACTAAAATGTCATCATCCATATTCAGCAAGGCCTTCACTGAATGGACAGCAAGGCTCCGTGACTTATCCTAAGAGTTAAAAACCAACATTGAGTTAACAGAAATTCCTCAGCCCCAGATGGGTTCATTTCAACAGGGCCAGCATCTCAGATGATGGGCATCACATTTATGTCAGCATATGTTTCATGATGAAATGGCTTTTACCCCTGAAATGTGCAGCCTTTAGCACATTCTTGCATACCGAGCCCAATCCACATGATCTTCAGGGAGAGGGACCATGGTCACAGTCACAGAGTTGCCTTACTTTCCACATAAGTGGAAGTTCATCCGTTCCCATCTACTCTGTTCCTTCACTGATCAATAACCTCTCAACAACCAAAAACCTGAAGCCCCAAACTGGAGAAGCAAAAAGAAAGATGCCTGAAATGCAAGGAAGTTTATCTTTCAGCTAAAGAACAGATCAACCGAGTACAGCGAGGAAAGAATAGCAGGTCAAATGAAGGTTAAAAGGGAGTCCTCGTCTTCCATCCTCACATGTACAGTACAGCAGCTACCTAAGAAGATCACTGGCCCACAACATCTTTAGGGTGACTAATGCTGTCCAGAAGATGCAGAAAACAGAAATTCATGATTAAATAAAATCCCACTCTCCTTGAGAGCACTCCAAACTCTCAGGATGTTAAACAAGGTGCCATTCCCAAGTGGGTCAACTAAGGTGCACCTATATTCTGTAAAACCTTTCACCCAAAAGCAGCATCCACAGAAGAACAAACACTGATCTTCAAATGCTTCACCTAAGTGTGGAAGGATGCCCATGTGGCCACTTGATCCATTTCTTCAGTGGGCACAGTATCCCTGACCACCGCCAGGGTGGCTGCCTGCCTGTGGGAAAGCACCATTGTTCCTGCCAGAAAGTTCCTAAGGGACTCGCAGACCAACATAATGCACTCTGCTAACAGATGAATCACAGTCTTACCTATGCCCTAGACAGAGCAAGGCTGAGGGGATGCAAGAGGAAGCAACGCCTCCACATATTCTGGATGAGAGGAGCAGGCCAACTGGCCAACTGGCTTCCTACCAAGGAAGGGAAAAGGGCAGGCCTTTTCTGGCATTTATGGCAGGCATGCTGGGAGTCCTGTGTAAAACAGGCTCAGTATGGCAGGAGATTGCAGTAGTCAGAGAAAAACTAGACACCCACTCCACCTGCCCTTCGTGTGGAAAACAACAATCTCACCTCACTTATCTATGCTTTTGAGCCTAGTATATTAGATAAGTCTAATTCTGCTCTTAATAGCTGGTCTATTTCACCTAGGCATTAAAACAAAACAGAATTATGCAGCATTGAAACTAATAAGATTTTGTAATCTATTCCCAGTATAGATTAACATACCTGCAATAAAAGCTTGTAATTAGTAAAAAGTTCCAAAGTAAGTAGCTTTTCTTTAACAAAAGAAGGGAAGATGAGTACATCTTCACAGTGTGCATCCAGGCAATATGAATCACCACCGAAATTTGAAACTGATTCCACCTCAGTGAATCCCTCTTTCTGTAAAGAACTATGAACTTCTTCAAGGCTAGAGCATAAAACACAATTATTAATGTACTATGCTGATTTTTAAATATTAAAATACTTACACTCTAAAATGCAAAATACTTACACTTTAACGTAGCCACTGGAAACAGAAAATGCTAAATGGAGGCAAGGAGGAGGAGGGGAAGAGTGTATGTTTACTTCACCTACTTCTAATCAGTTATAAGGATGACAGGAATGATCCAAATGCTTCCCAGCAAAACTTTTGATGAGAGAACTTTTGATGAGAGAATTAAGGAAATAAGGAGCTGGCTGCATGGAAGCTGTCTGGGACACAGTTCCAGAGAAATGGACAGGGAGCAGGAGACTTCTGAATAGCTGCAGGAAGATGAGTGACTGACATGGGAAGGGGTGTGTCAGGATATAAATATAAGGAGATAAGGATTCATGAGGCCATGGAAGGCTTTGGAGGCAAGGATGATAAGGCTGTAGGATCTGAACGCAGACAAAGAAGCCAGTGAAGGGATTTAAAGAACATAGAATGATGAGAATAATGTTGAGAGCAGAAAACTGAACAGAGGCAAGAGAGAAGAGTGGAGCGTGGATAAGAGTTTTTGCTGAAGCAACAAGATCTGAAAACAAATTGAACTTGGAGGAAGAAAGGAGATGAGTCAAGTGAGCAAATGAGTCTAATTATGTCTACTCCACATAATGGGGGATGGGGGCACTGTTAATGCAAAAGTAAAGTGTATGAAGAAAGAACTGCTTGGGAAGAAAGGAAGTTTGGTCCAGCATACATTGAGCTAGAAACTACGATGATGCCTCCAAGCAGTTGGAGATGCAGAACTTATCAGAGGGTGAAAGATTTGAGGCAAAGAGGTGGAGCTCAGTGTCACTGGAGTCCAGGTAGTACTGAAAGCCATGGGAGGTAGGAAGGCTACTCAAGACACAGTGGAGAAGGACAGAGCTTGAAAGACAGCAGGAAAGAGAACAGTACAGGACCAAGTACCGAGTCCTGAGGGACTACGACAAAAACAGGGAAGAACAGGGTCCTTCTATAAAAATCTTAAAAGAGTGACTGGACAGATTGGAAGATAATTATAATATCCCAATCTCTAAAAATACAACAGTTGTCATATCCAAAATGCACCATCAGCTGTGTCGTAAGGATTGCACATGGCAGTGCACCCACCACAAACTAATACCTTTCAGCAAAAGAAGTGGTAAGTCTAGACTACTCATTCATATTTTCTATACACATGAATCACTAAGCTTAGGGTACTAGGACAATGGTATGAACATTCCCAAAAGACATGCAATCCACTGATACATTAGTCTTACACAATATGCAGCGCTGAAAGAAGGAAGTGTTAAATGTACACAGAACACTAGTCATCTTTCAGCCCTTACCTTGCTTTAAGTGTATTCACCCATGCATACAAAGGCAGCGAAGAAGCTCTTTGTTCTTGTTTCCGTATCGTTTCTGGCAAAATGTGTTCTATAGACAGAGCGTCATGTTTGATTCGACATCTTGCTAGGGCAGCAGCCAGTTTTGTCTTAAAACTATGGATTAAAAATGAAAAGAATCTTCTAGCAAGTTATTTCAGTATTATTTAACTACTGGTGAGTGATGAGAAGAACAGGTGTTAACAGTAATTTGGATTCTTAAAAGATGAAGCGGGTGAATGGAGAGATGATTACATCAAACTATGTTATGGCACCTGCTGTATTGTTGGTGGAACCTGCTATAATAGCAAAGGGATGCTTGTAATCTATGTCTCTTAGATATGTGGAAAGGCATCTGTAGATCCTTTAATTGCCCCAATCCTTCCTGCTCATCACTAAAATCTTACTGTGCTTATACCTGTGCAACACCAAGCAAGGGATTTGTCAATGCATTTCAGTTATCCATATACCTGCACAGATAATGCTCAACTTCTTGGACCTCTGCTATTGGTTCTTCATTATCAATATTAAAGCGAGCTTCAAATTTCCGATCTTGGAGATCATAGAGCATCACAACAACTAGACTGGTCAGTTCATCTGGCTGCAAAAAGAGAAACATCATACAGAAAATAAAGCAGGAAAAAACCACCGAAAAGAAAATTATACCTGCAGCATTTCTTCCCTCAATCCTTCAGATAGAGAAAAGCAGGCCTGCCTAATCAGAATGTGTGAAGGGCACTGTTTAGGTTTGATATACACAGAGTAGTTTTTTGAATCCTTTTCATTGTAACATTTTATCAAGTCCTAAAATAAATTTTTGAATATTTTAGACTTGCTAGTTTTCTTAAGGGTATAAGAACAGCTAAGCTTCATCAGACTAAGGTTCCATCTAGTCCTCTCTTTCCCAGCTGCCCACAAGGGGTCATCTAGTCCAACCAGAGTTACCAAAGTTTCCACAAGCAGAACATGAATCCAGCAGCACCCTCTTGTCCAAATTCCCAGTAGGCAATACATTTTATTCTAGAAAGGAAGATCAAAACCTAGGCCTAAAAACCAGGCTTCTCATCAGTAGTGGTGATCTCTTAAAATAGGTGCAAGAAATGGTCTAAAAAAAGCAGCCATTCATATAAACACATACTTTTCTCATGTTAGTGAACCAAGTATTATCTAAGAACAGGTGGCCTCTGCAGAAAGCAGTGGTATATGAGCAAACCCCCCAGAGTACACATTCCAAAATGTCAAATAGCAGACTCCTAAAAACAATCTAGAATATACAGCTTAACAAGCAAAATCAAATGCATGGTTGTGTTCACAGACTTGCAGAAGGCCATTCAAACTATGAGTGAAAACTTCTTGCCTGCTCTAGGTTGTACTTGCTACACATGCTTAAGTAGGGCTGCTCAGAAGTAAATCAATTCACTGAATTTGGTCCTGCTTCCTGGTATGTTTTCTTAGAACTTCAGCTTCACTACTGTTGGCATAGCCAGCATTCATGCCTATGTGCCCCTGAAAAACTATGTGTAGTCTATGTCAAAGTGAGAAATCTCAGGCCTGGGGTCCAAACCTAGTCCTCCTTGGTCCCAATTTCAGAAGAAACACACATATGCATCTCAGAAAACACATATACAAGCTGACAAAAGACAACAGACCACAGAGGGCCACTGAGCAAAATATTTACTTACTATTGACTGCATTGGGTAAATGCCACTGTCTATCAGTATATTTTCAAGAACATCTTGATCTGCAGGAAAGACAGAAACATAAGACATCTTCAAATCATTCCATAATTTGCTACTTTTCCACAAATCAGTAATATATAGAATATCTAAGAAACATTCTGGTTTGTGAATTAAAACGTATTATCCTACTGAATATAAATTGTGATTTTCATTCTGCACCAGCTGTTCAACACCATTTCTGTGTTAGGTCTGTAGACCTAGAAAACCTAGCTTGAAGTAACAAAACGAACTTGAAGTAAAATGCGCAATGGTCACATGCCCCTAAGAATTAATTAGGATATATAAAGTGGTTTAAACATAAATATACCTAAGCCGAGTTAATATATTCTAACAGCTAACTATATTTAAAGTACACAAGTAAGAGCAATTATGTGTGGCTATTTCCAGGCTTATGGTAGTTTCTTACTCCATAAGACCCTTCTTTCTGTATTTACAGATCTTGCTAGCATATGGTTTAGCATGGCCAAGGAGGAGAAGGATTTTTGACACTTTTGAAGCTTTTCAGTTAGCGATAGCTTCCTTTGGTAAACTGTATTGAGAACTGTGGTTAACATTAACTCTGGTTATTTAAATAAACTGGCTTCAGAACCATCATTTAAAACTGCCTTGCTTTGAACTAGCAATAGTCAACATTAACCACCGAATTGCCCACACACAATAAGCTGCAGTTAATCAAACGCTCCTGAAGGCCTTCTCCCAGCTGCACAAGGAAGGGCAGGGGACAGCAACCTTGTGACTGACCACGGCTCATTTTCACTCACGTACAATGAGTTCCTTAATGTTCATTCTGATATCCTGCACATTAGAAAAAAGGAACAAGCAACAGCACAGGGAAGGATTGAAGGTTATCAGCTCTTTTGCTGACTTTATTGAGCTAGCTGAGAAATGCAGCAAGTTCTATCTTGACTAGTAAATCTGCCTGTTATGTAGCAACTCCAAAAGCCATGGCACTGCTGACGCTGAACACTTTCAGAATTAAAACCAGCTGACTGTGAAAATTCACACTGCTATCTTGATTATTCTATTTTAATCAATGTTGCTCCAAAAAGCAAACTGTTCCTACATTTTGGTCTGTTTGTGCCATGACAACAGTTTTTGTGTTAGTCTACAAGGTACAAAAGCACAAGTCAGCAAGCTGACACTCCACAGTTTGTTTCAGGGATGGCAGAGAGAGAATTCACAACCCTTGAAGCTTGCCAGTGGGGACCCCAATATAGGAGTTGCCCTTCCACATGTGATCTTTACCTGTCATGGCTGCTAGAGTCAACATGCAGCAGAGATTTGGTACACGGAGGGAGTGAAGTCAGGGCCACAGAATTGGCAGGAGCTGTAGCTGTCTGAAATCTTTCTTCTGTACAACTAATTAAAACACACACACACTTTTAACTTCTGTATGTAGGATTAGAAGTGGTGATGTCTCCCACTTTTTTGGACCATTCTCATTCAATTTGGCGAAAAAATAATAAATAATTTGCTTTAGAAGAAGAAGAAATGCACAAGAGAAATTATTGTGTCACGGCTCTAGTCTTTTCTTATGAGCTGGTTGGGAAATTTGCAGACCTATCCTGCCTTATATTGCACAATCACCTTTCTGGCGGCTAGAAACTTCCTCAGCTTCCTGCACATCAGTTAATTTTATGTGGTGGCTGGTTTCCTTTCTCACCCTAAATGTCATAGAATGTTGCTAGGTATAACACATCATGGAGAATGTAAAATGTGGGCCAACTTCCCAACACAGTTACGACTGTTGCCAGGGAGAGGCAGCACCCTCTCCCTGTAGCCCTCCCAAACAACTTGGAAAAGAAGAAATAAGTTGTGCTACTCTCACTTCTAATGGGGAAACCTTCCTGTGAGAATCTGTTGGGGAATTTTTCCTATCCATGGAGAAATTTGGTGAAAATTTCCCTTCCAATTTCTCTGTCCCCAGACAGGTGGGAGAATTTGAGAGGCCATTTGATCACAGCTCTGATAAAACCTCTAGAACTGCAACACACTTAAATAAATTTTCCCAGTTGACATGTGCAGGAAGGGTTAGATTGGAAGACATCCTTCAGTGCTGCAACCTTAGAATAATGCACAGAGAAAAAAGAGGTGAATACCAACTTTTATTCCTGCAATGAAAGACAACCTGGTACTGTATGTGGATATAAAATGCACTAAAGATTCAGTTTGTGAGACAGGAAAGAAATAGCTCTGATTATGTATAGTTTCTCAAGCCAAGACTCTAACAGAAGTGCGCATAAATATTAGAATGTTTGTTTCTATCAATACTACAGACCTATCATCTTGTTCCCAAAGAAACATTTGTCCATGGAAGAGGACACTAAAGAAAAAGAGAAGAGCATCATTTGCCGGACTATTTTTTATGTTCGATAATGAACAAAAGAGATATCTGGCCTTCTTCTAACCTCTTGTCCATATGACACTTTGGAAAAACAGCCTTGCCTCTCAAAAGACCTTTCTTGATCATTCTTTGTACCAAGAATAAGAAATCACAACAATTGCATGGACTTAATTTTTAGATTCATGGACTAAGGGCATGCATTATTTCTCCTCCATTTAAACAGCACTTTAAATTCAATTTTACCAGTGAATGTGACTTATCATTGCAGGACAGAAGCCATTTCTCCTCCTTGCATGAACAAGACAAGCTGATGTTACCATATTTTCAGTGGTTTCCATAGACCATGACAGCTGCTTTTCACCTTTGTAGAACTGATTCAGACATACTTATCTCAGTCCAGCAAGCTGCCAAGGTAACCTCCTTTGTCCCCACTTCTTTTCCTAATGAATTCCCACCGAGCCAGAGCAGCCTGTGTACATTTCACCAATAGCTGACCTTCTGAGATATAAAAGAAGTTGACTTTGGAAGACATAATTTTTGGCAATTGCCTTCATATGCCTGTTGAAAAGAGAAGTGCCATTTCTGCTTGATATACTGTAAGCCTTTGTGTTCCCTCTTCAACAAGGAAAAGCAGCCATGCAACAGAGAGCTTTCCAATCAATATCTCTATGAGGGCAAGCTCTTAATATATAAATTATGTGATGCATGCACCAGATTATTTATTATGGGTACTTCATTCAGTTCACCAATTATTTTTAACCCTAGCCTATACATGGTCCTGATAGGCATCCACTTGCTACCGTACGTATTTCAAGTGGAGCTTGCATTATATCTGCTAATTTGGGAGACAGTCAAGGATTAGTGAGCTACTCACATTGGACATGGAATTCTTCAGAAACTAGGGTTGTGTTGTTTGACATGAAAACCAGGAAACAGAACTGTAATTGCTTTAAAATACAGTGTTAGAAGGGGTCTTTCAAGATCTCCAACAAAGCTGAAGTGATTCTACTAGGTAAAGACCAATGTTTTCTTGGCAGAAAGCAAGAAGGACACAAACTTGCAGAGAGAGTCATTACATGGAATAAAGGAGATGACTATAAGAAAGTGGACAGAGATAGAAACAGATGTACATATGGTAAGGAGCAAGAGCACAGATTATGCCAGGATTATAAATTACCACTATTTCCCAGTTCACCATGACAGAAGAAGCAAATACACTCAGCTAAGTACCTAAATAGCATACCACCTGAGCCAGTCATCCCCAGTCTATGCAGCTCCAGTTGCTTTGGCCTTGAAGGCTAGCAGCCCACTAAGAAAAAAAGGGGATGAGGCAGTCAACTTGAAACAGGCTGTCCTTCATACCTTGCCTCCTATTCTCCCTTTGCCTCTTTTCCCAAATGACAGGGAGAAAAAACTACCCTGAAAAATATCTTGTCATAGTGATGGCAAACTAGTTATAGTAAAACTTTGGCATATATTCTTACATAAAACAAATTCAAATTCTTAAAATACACAATGTCTATAACAGATATCCAATATCACTGCAGATCTTGACAGCGATCATATTATCTTTATGTCAATTGGACAAACGGCACATTACAGGACCATGAGCAACACATGACAGTTTTACATTTCTTTCTGCCTAAGAAATTGCATAGAATTGTGATCTTGTTTTATTTTATCCAGGGTAGGATAGAAAACAGACCTTCTACTTACATTTTAGGGCACTGAAGGCCAGTTCATATGAGAGACGCTGGAAGTGTTCATCTTTGAAATCTGGAAGAGTTGGCAATGGCCCATTTCCATACTTTACCAATATTTTATCTTGAGGCTTTTCATTATGAATGCCTTGAAAGATGTTGGCAGCATTTAGGTAAACAGAGTCCTGATAGCCATTCTTTTCAGTCAGACTTGCTGAACTTTTTTCAGAAGATAGTGTTTCATTTGAAAAAGACATTTTGTGGATACTTGAATCATCACTTGCAATGTTATCATTTGAAGACATCAGATTAGTTCTTAGAAATGGCATTGTTTCTGTACTGAAGTATCAGTATATAACAGGATAGCAAGTCAAAATCCTAAAATCCCTGTAGAAATATGGGTCAGATTATGTACAAATTGGAAGGCAGTTGCAAAACATTTTGTCAAGATTCATAAGAACGCAGGAAAAAGAGGAGCAAATTAGTCAAAACAACTATCTAATTCAGCATTCTGTTCACACAGTGGCAAACGAGCTGCAATGAAGAAACTCACAAATCAGGACATGGGTGGAACAACACCCACGTTCCCAAACAACTGGTGTGCATAAGGATACTGCCTCTGATACTGGGAAATGACATACAGTGTTCAGGACTATCAGGCACAAATAGCGTTCTCCTCCAGTAATTTATACAATTCCCTTTTAAAACCATCTGAACTAATGTCCATCACTACATGTGTAGCAAACTCCATAGTTTAACTATGAACTACATGAAGAAGAACTTCCTTTTATCTGTCCCAAAGATCCCACCAATCATAGACGATCCCAGATTCTAGTATTCAGGAAAGGGAGAAAATATCTCCCTATTTTACACCAAACATATTTTATACATCTATGTCATGTTTCGCCTTACTCATCTCTTTTCCCAGGGTAGCAGTCCCACATATTTTCACCTTTTCACATAGTTGCTCCAGGCCCCTCCTACACTTCTTACAACTCTACAATATCCTCTTTTTAGGTGCAGTGACCATAACTGTACACAGTATTCCAAGTGTGGTTGCACCATAAGATGTGTATAAGCACAGCATGTTATTGGCAGTTTTATTTTCAATTTCTTTTTTATTTATACCTAACACAGAATTTGTATTTTTCATAGCAGCTGCACATTGGATCAACACTGGTGTTCCTTTTGCATATATTACCATATATTACCATAACAATTTATCTAGAGTGTTAATACAGTAGTAACAACCAGCTGAATGAACTGTACCTTAGCATCATTTTACAGTATTTCTATTTTATATCAGATATTCAACTACATCCATAACTTAGATTATTTGAATTTTTAAATTATGTACTGTATATTACATATTGGGTGCAAATTAGCAAAAGACAGTTAATGAACCATACATATCACTGATTTATAACCCATCTCAAGGTCTGTATGCTTCACTCCAAAAAAGACACAAAAAGCAACACCATTGGTGGGTTTTCTGAATTGGTCAGTTACTACAGCTGGACTTCATAATGACTATTATCATTTGCTTTCCATTCTAAAAGAAATGTTAATCCCCCCCCCCTTTTCACTGGAGGAGATTCTTCCTCACTACCCTGTTATTTGGGGGAAAGCATGTCCCTGCCAGGTGTGGCATCGCGCACATTCAAGATCAGTTACTATCTTCATTATGTTCAAGGTAGCAAAACTATACCCACTTCCTTTTAAATCATCAGCTGAACAGAAAGAAGATGTATTTCCACAATAGGTCTGTTTCCAGTTTGACAACCTGTAGTCAGAAATGAAAAGATTAAAGGCATTACAACTGTGGTATGTTATTTTCTAGGAAAGTTACTTTTTCTCCCCTACACTGTACTCCAGTACCTCGGTTCTCAAACAGAGAGGTAGGCTACCTCTAGGGGATAGAAAACACCAGGAGGGAGGTGGGAGAGATGAGACTCCTGAGGAAAGCCACAGATATAGTTTGGGCAGGGAGACCTTATCAGTCAAGGATGGACAGAGTGGGATTTGAGTTGCACATGAGAATAAAGTAAAGGAAATAAGGGAGCAACTTGCTGTGGTCCATAGGTACATAAAGGAACTCCAAGAAGAAGTCTAGCAGAGTTCAAAATTTTTGAAGGAATATTAACCTTAATATTGCTCTAGCAAGAGTTTAAATTACATTGTTGAGTCAGATATCCAGAAAAAAACAGCCCTACTTTGATCCAACTTTTACCAACTTCTCCAACTGAATATGGGAATAAGGGATTCCCACGTGGTATTCATAAGAAGCAAACACAAATTATTAGAAATGATTGCCAACATAGAAGTGACCAAGAACAGAAACCTGATCCTTGGAACCACAGCTTGTGTGTGCCAGCTCAGGCACAAGAAGTGCCAAACCATTAAATGCTGCAATTTGTAATGTAATCCAATATAAGACACTTCAGCAACACAGCCATGGGCAACAAGGCCATTGTGCAGCACAGAAAGAAGTAATGGTAGCATGACTGGTGAGAATGCAACAGGTATACAAAGATATATGTTATTATATTTAGCCATTTTATTATCTTTCTATCTACATTTTGTATTAGAAAGGCAGGTTAGATATTAATATACTATACCATTCCTAAATGCCTTGTAGCTCCACAAAACATTTTCCAAACATATTTTCACAAATAAGTTAACATTATTGCAAGATTAGAACCAACAATCCACATAACTGGGAAGACAGGTTACACAAACCTAGGCCATAGCTGTATCAGACTCAACATATGCTTAGGTCAGTACTGCTGTGCCAACATATTAGACATATGTCCAATATGAACATACTCAGCCACACCAAGCAAGTATCACAATACAGAAGTGATCTTTGTACAAGAAAGACATCATCATGTGTGAAACAGCTCTTCAAATAATGTCTTTGCCTTTGAACACGCCCTGATGTGACAATGCTTTTCCAAAAAAAGGAAAAAACTTGAACAACCTCGCACTTGGCACATCCGTGCAAACTAAACACTGTGACACAGGGAGAAGACTAAAATATCAGCTGAATTGTATTTTCCTATCTTTTAAGGCATGGAAATGGATTGCATCAAGATGAATTTGGCAAGTAAAAAAGTTAGATTCCTCAGAATGTACACAGATTTAACATTCTGGTAGAAGTGTTCATGTGAATTCTGAACCAGTCATTTACAAAAAGTATCCCCCACCTCAAAAAGGGAATATATAGCCACGCATATGCCAAAACTCCCTCCTTAAAAGAAGGGCTTAAAACAACAGAGTACATACCCACTAGCAAGAAATGTCAGGAGCCCTGGAAGTTGCCACCAGAACTGAGATCTGCAGACTCAGAGCCTTCCCGGGCATAGATAATGAGCGATGGGGGAAAGAACGCTCCACCTGCTGAATTTCTAAATTCAGACAACAGTGCACAAACCATTAAGCGCTGAGCGGCTGGGGTTCACGTGGGTGGAGACAACCACAAATGCACAATGATACTTTCCGAGTGATTTTTAAACGCTCCCCGCTCTGCTCCACAAGCGCATCACGCTTCCCACCGACCCTCCACGACACACACGCAGTCTTGGCATCCCTCAGGGATGCTACTGAACGCGGCCCGCGAGACAAGTGGTCCTCACAGTTGCGGGGCGCCGACGGCAAGTCCGCGGCTCACCAGAGCGCGCTGTACGAAAGCTTCAGTGCGGGCTCGCGGCCGGCAGCTCCGCCGCACCTGCTGCCCCCGCGCCCCCGGCAGCTCCAAATCTTCGCCGCGCTGGTACTGCCCCCTCCAGGAGGGGAAGGGCACGGGCTTCCCCTCGCCCCGCCCATATGCCACACCCACCGCCGGGCGGGAGGGGAGGGAAGGAGGGGGAGGGAGGAGCAAGAGAACTCCACTGGCCGTTTCATTCAAATCGGGCCCCTACCATTCTTCGTGGGGGAGGCGGGTGTGCTTAATATTCGCTGAACTCTCCAACTCTCTTCCGACTTTTCCATGCACCTGCTTTTCCTAAGCCTGTCGTCTACATGTTTTCCTTTCCCTGTGTTTCTCCACCTGCCCTTTGCGTACTTTTATTACCCCTCGTTTGTCCAGTGCCTTTGGAACGGTCTGCCTGCTGTGGTGAATGGCAGCCACAGGGCAGGTTCTGAAAGTTCAGGGCGTCTGTTTGCGGTGTTCTCTCCGTTGGCGACGAGGAGGGCTGGGCCGCGATGATACGGCGACGAAAGGAGCTGGAAGCAGTCACAGTGAAGTCACCCCTGATGCAAAATGTGTGATATATTTACTGGGAGTAGGTGGGGGGAGAGAGATGGATGTGCCATAATTTTTATTATTTATTAGATTTATATCTCTCATTTTTCTTTTTTGAAAAACTCCGAGAGTCTTACATCATTCGCCTCCTGCTGCTCTCCATTTTATCACCTCAACAAGTAGTATCCCTGAGAACTTTTGAAGCCCCAGAGGCAAAGTTGTTTCTCAAAGTCGGAGCTAGCTCTGCAGCATTAAGACTGTTAAGGAAAAAAAACGTTTAGCTTTTTGGAATTTGTTTTTAATCTGCTTTACTGATAACGTTTGTGGTGGAGTGCATATTAAATCAAAACATGTCCATCTAGTCCACCCATATCTCACAAGTGTTTCTAGGCTACACACAAGAAGAACCACAGCGTACTTCGTTTTAATATTGTTGGGAAAATTCACTTTACCCCACCTGCTTCACTGAGGATTGTTGTACAGCTCAGCAGGACAGGGAAATCTGACTGGATGGCACATGATGTCCACATCTATGCTAATAATAATAAATGTACTAGAGCTGTGTTCCCACCAGCAATGGTTCCACTGCACTATTGATGCCTGGAGAAAACTTTTGTGCAAGTGTCCAAGAGGAAATTGATAAAACACCAAAAAAGAAGGAAACAAAATAGAATCCAATCTTGTTGGAGAATTTGGCCTAGGGGATCAGAATGAAGTAGGCGAGTGCTTCATAGGACTGTGTGAAGCCAACCACCTGTTTATTGCAATTACATGTTCGGTAACTGATCAGGCAGCTAGCTGTGTACATGGACATCAGCAGATGGTTCATATAGAAATTGGATAACTATGCAATTGGAAGTAAAATATGGAGAATCTGTATTTTTGGCTGCCATCGCAAGACCAGGAGAAGACTGCAGTTGTGACTGCAAACTAATAATATCAAAAATCAGAGTCAAGCTGAAAAAGATCATTAATGGAATCATAGTGCCAAAATACAACTTAAATAACAATCCTGCAAATAACTCAGTCATTGGTCATTTTGAATGTACTGAACTCAATTGACTGTGAACTAGAAAAACTGTGAACTTTATGCAGAGACATTACAAGGGAAGAATACAAAAGAAAATTCCTGAAAGGAAAAGAAAGAAAAAGCCTGGATTGATAAGAATAAGTAAGAAACAGAACACAATGCAAAGACATTCATTCACAGGGTCACGGTATGTTGGGTATGATATGATGGCACATAACAGCATACACAAACATTCCTGTGTAAGAAAGCAATGTGTACACAATAATACGTGGGCTAGTTCATATAAATTAATAATTTTGATGGCTGCAGTGGTACTGTGGTGACGGTACATGTGTGTGCCATATCTAGATCCATTTAATTTGGGGCTCAGGTGGCTTTTTGCATGATCTCCATATTGTTTTAGGCATTAGATTGTTTTTAAATTGTGTACTTTGAAATAGAGTGGTACCTTGGCTCACGAATGTCTTGGTTCACGAACAAATCGGGTCATGAACAAAAATTACTGAAAACATTTTACTTGAGTCGTGAACACCGCTTTGGGTGGCGACCAA